AAAGTGTAATTGTTATTTTTACAGTGTAATTTCAGTAATAATTTTGTCTACCGTGACTAGTTTACTGCATGGATTTTTTTGCTGCTGTGCCTTTAAGACTTTCATGTAACCTCCTTTTTCACATGTGAAACGAGTTTTAGCTAATTGTTGGACTCACACATGGGCTGCTGTGGAGCTGAGTTTAGTTTTTAAGCCTCCACACGTCAAATGTGTCATCTAAACTGTGGAGATGCAGACCGAAAGTGATAATTTTCAAATAAGCTTCAGCCCCTTTTAATCTATAACATTGGGATTCTTCAGGATCTGCTACACAGTAAAAGGTTTGGTGAACTTTCATTTTACTTTTACTATTAGTTTTTCTTGTGTTTAGCAATACTCAATGGCTGTTTAACAAGGCAAATCACATTTTGGGCATATTTGCAGTAATTTTAGCCATGCAAATCCCATCTACTATATAATATTATAATATTTAGAATAAACGGTTGTCAAATACTTAGTTGTAAAAACCTCTCCTTACTACTTTAGATTTTATTAAAATTTTGATTTTTTTTTAATTTAATGAATTATATTTTATTTTAATTAAATATAGTAAAATGTTATTAAAACCTAAATGTACTTTATTTTTTATAAAAATGCATTTTAATTTATTTTAGTTCAAGTTTTAGTAATTTTGTTGTGTTTTGTAATTTTTATGTCAAGTTAAACTAAATAAATGTTCTGAATAAGTTAAAAATCAGTTGTTGTTTTTTTTTTTTTTTTTTTTTTTTTTTTGCTTTTAACAAAGATTGGCTTAATAAATGCTGCATTATGGCTACAGTATATGCTTTTTTTTTTGTCTAAGGAGGACATTTTCTAAAAGTTACAGTATATTTTTTACTTAACTTTTAAACTTTTTTACTTCAAAAGACAAAAGAATTTGACACAAAAATTCCCATATACATATACACCTCATTTTTCATGTAATCACAGGCCATAATGCATGTGGCCATTTGTAATTTTAATATGTCTGGCTTCCTGTGTCATTCGCTTCCAGTTATTTTTAGCTTGATATTGCAACCTGATATTTATCATTACCATATTATTTTAATGAAGTCTAATTATAACAGTTATACAGTTTGCTGCACTTATATTCTTCTTGTTTCCGTATAGCTGATAATAAATCAAAAGTCTCACACATTCACAGAAAAAAACTTACATTCGCGTTGAAAAATTTACCAATTCATACGAGTGATTAAAAGGTGGCTAATTCGTACGAATTCGTACGACCTCACTCATATGATTTTGTACGATTTGTCTAAACCCACGTGATGGGTAGGTTTAGGGGAGGGGTCAGGGGTAGGTCATTCATACGAATTGGGCAACTCGTAAAATATTTACGATTTAGCCAAAATCGTACTAATTCCTACGAGTGAGGTCATTAGCAACCTTGTAAAATTCGTACGAATTGACGTAAGTTTGGGTTGGATGGACAGCCCCAGTTTCACAGAAAAGGTTTAAACCTAGTCCCAGACTTAAAGGAGTAGTTCACTTTTAAAAAAAACTTTTGGTGATTTACTCACCCCCATGTCATCCGAGATATGTGACTCTTGATATTTCGAACTCGTTCATCAAAATGGCAAAATCTTTTTTTGAGTCATTTGGTTGATTCAATGAACAAAAAAAAAGACTGACTCGGAAAAAGATTAGTTCGAACAGGAGAGTCACGAACGCGCATCACAGAACAGAGCAAGACGACCATTTGAGCTTATAAAACTTAAACTTTTTTTTTTTTAAATGAGCGATCGTTTCGCTTGATAAGACCCTTATTCATCATCTGGTGTCGTTTAAAGCCCTTTGAAGCGGCACGGAATCTCTCATTTGGACCTTGAACCGTTTGGTTCCCATTGAAGTCCATTAAATGGAGAAAAATCCTGGAATGTTTTCATCAAAAAAATTAATTTCTTTTCGACTGAAGAAAGCATGACATGGATATCTTGGATGACATGGGGGTGAGTAAATTATCAACAAAAGTTTTGTTTAAAAGTGAACAACTACTAAATGCATGTTTGAGTTGTTTTAACTGAAAGCAACTTCCACTGAAATATCTTAAAATATGTCACTCAGAGTCATTGTTTTGTCTCAAGATGCACACCAGTGATGTTGTTTTCTAAGGCATGTTTATAAAAGCTTCTTAAAAGGCATAATCCTGACTTAATCTAAGCCCTGTCTGTGAAACCGGGCCATAGTGTACGAAGTGGCATGGGTGTGGCTTGCTGTCTGTGATGAAGGGGCAGGGCTGTTGTGATTGGTGGAATCATATTAGCAATCTCCTCCCAGACTTTTGCGTAACTCGGTTCATGTAAATGTCAGAGTTTGCAATGTCAAAGCTTCAGGTAAACGTGGTGCAGAGCAGATGAGGACATTAGTTTGCCCATCCTCTCATCGCCAATGACACCAGCAGCAGCTCAGTCTCAGTTTGACGCGAGTTCACAGAAGTCAGACGAGTAACAGATCTCACCTTTAGCTGTGAGCGAGACGCAGGCCCGCTGAGCTCGGACTGGCAGGTGGGCTGCATGTGGCTCATGTAAAGTGCCAGCTGATGCTTTATCTGTTCCTACAGCCTCCAAACTGCAAATGACAAATAGAAACGCTGCCGGGATCTAATGTCACGTACTGTAGCTGTAATTTAGATTTACTTGTGTGAAAATGTGTGAAATTTGCTTTTAGATTGTTTCAGAGGTGCACATGTTTGTGATATTGCTATTAAAGGGACAGATTGCCCATTCTCGAGACACATTAAAGGGATAGTTCACCCAAAAAATGAAAATCCTGTCATCATTTACTCACCTTCAAGCAGCAGAACATAAAGATATTTTCAAAAAAAACTTTGGAAATCTAACGAAATCGCAAGCCATTGATTTTTATAGTCTTTCACACAGGATTTGAACGACCTGAAAGTGAGTAAATGATGACAGAAATTAACTATCAAAGTGCTCAAGTATAGCATTATCCAGACAGCAAAATGGTGCGTACGTGTAGATTCAACGCGTACCAGATGTGGGCCGGATCTGGGCCGACACTATGTTGCTGTCTGGGTATTTAGGTCATGTTGGTTATTTACAAGTGTTGCCAAGAATTCATGGAAACACACATATTCGCTCATTTCAAGCACTAATGCCCACTTTTATCACCATATTTTATGTGAAATTCGGTATATCTAGGAAGTGCCGCCATACACCCCAAAATTCACGCTCGCTGACAAACACACACAAAGCAGCTGTCACTTCTCATTAGGTGGGTGTTTTCCAGCTGAGTTGGTGTGATAGGGCTGGGTGACTCGACCAGCGACAGTGTGTTGTGATGTGGACACACCCGTAGGCGAGAGAAAGAGGTGGGTGGGGCCATATCTACAGGACACACACACACACACACACACACAGTTACTCCCTGTAAACGGACTCAAATGCTTCACTGTTGCAGGCCATCCCATACAAACCACAAACCAGCAGTGTAAGGGCGGATATCGTGAAAACCGTCATGAACATCTCTGGGTCTCGCCAAAGTCAAAAGAAAAAAAAAGAACTTGATAAAAAAAAAAAGCCTATTTTTAGGACCAATATGAAATTTTCAATTATCCACCAGTTCACCATTTTCCGAAACATTTTCTTCAAGGATGAATTGATTGTAAAGATTATTCAAATTCAAGATAATTTCAAGGTTATTCAATTACAAGACTTTTCAAGTTTTCTGTTTGCTGTTCTTTTGAACTTTCTATTCACCAAATAGCCAATTTTATAATAATAATACGTTTTCTTCGCACATCTGTTTTCAACATTGACACTGATTAGAAAATTGTAGAATCATAGTGATTTCTGAAGGATCATGTGACACTGAAGACTGGAGTAATGATACTGAAAAATCAGCTTTGATCACATTATAATAATATTATAACTATAATATAGACCCGTTTACAGTTGGTAAACATGGGGACGTTTTTTTGTGGGCGGAGCTTAGGTGGAGGCAGAAAGATCCATCTGGCCGCTTCACTAACGCTAGTTAGCTAGGATTGTTAGCTTATTTTTTAACAATGACTGGAGAAAATCCGATATTATCTTAATGTGTAAGGTCACTCAGTGTAATGACATTTTAATTATAATAATATTTCACAATATTAATGTTTTTCACAATATATATATATATACGTATGTACTGTATGTGTATGTATACACATAGATAAAAAATTTCATCACCATGCAAAAAAAATTAGGCTTCATTTCTTTTACGCCAAAAATATAATTTCTTATTTTGTTTCTTGTTATTTTTGCAGTTGATATTTCTGTGAATTTCACTCGTAAGTAACATTTCCCAAAGTGACAGTGTTCAAAAAGTTTACTTTTCACTCTAGTTACTTTACATCTGGATATGCAGACACTTGATTCTGTTTAGATGAACATCTGACAGAACTGCTCTCTCTCTCTCTCACACACACACACACCATCATCATCTATTCCATTAAGACAGATGCACAATCTTAAAACCTTGACCATCTCTTACAAACACACACACACACACACACAGAGGTCTTACTGTGCAGGGCCGCTGGCCCGCGTCACTCTGTGTTAGCATAAGAACAGCTTATTACAGACAGAGAACATCACCATGGGCCAAGCCTGAAGATGAAGAGAAGTGAGTGAAGAAGACAGAGAGAGAGAACTCACAACTGCCTGCCATATCTGTGTGTCCATCAGATGCACATGTTTATTACTCATATTTCCACTGTGAGAGGAACATATACACTCTTACTAATGTAGCTAGATCAACAAAACCAAACAACCTGAACATGTGCATTTATACCCACCTTAAATCAGGTTAAAAGAAATAGCTCTTTAAAATACCAACTGCAGGTTACCAAAATGAAAACTTGCATAATTTCCCCATCCGACTTTTGCTTATGTCCAAGTGTGATTCTCCTGTTGACATGGGTCATTCAGCATCACAAAGAGTGAATTTAGTACAGCAGATGATGTTGTATATCTGTTTAATTCAGATATAGATCAAAATATATGATGTTCACAAAGAGCAGCAGAAGATACTGATACATTCCATTTTGTGAAAGCGTGAATTCATAATTAACAAACAAATGTGTATTGAGGTAAAAAAAAAAAGTTGCATTGTTGTCAGTTCTATTTTATACAATATATTACACTTAAGATGAATCACAGTTATTGTGTTGATAGTTACGCAGCCTGCGCTAGACGTACCGTACAATCCACAGAAATCACATAATACAACTGTGTGCAGTAACCGTCAATATGGAGATTTCACAGATGTAGCTCAGGCTGCAAACTAGCTGTCGGTGGTGAGGTCAAGTGAGGTTAGACATCCAATAAAACCTTAACACAACTTAAAATGTTAAAATAAAAAATCCTATTCTTTATTGTTTTCAGACTGAAATTAAAATTCTGTCATCATTTACTCGTCATTCCAAACCTGAATGAGTTTAGGCGTTAGATTAGAGTGAAAGTCAATGGGGTCCAATGTTGTTAGGCATTTCTTCAAAAAGCAAGGAATGCATACAGGAGTGAATGATGACAGAAGTTCAGTTTTGGGTGAACATAGAGTTCTGTATGTTTGCTAAGAGACGAGCAGTCTGACTGTATACAGGAACAGGCCGCCGAGCCCGGCGACGGCTGCCACGGCGACCGCCCTGACGACCAGAAACTCCATGGAGTCCTCCAGCTTGGTGTGCAGTCGCAGCACCTGTCTGTGAGTGTCCTCGCGAGAGCCCGAGTTCTCGATCACGTGACTGGCCAGTCCGCGCTTCTCTTTGAGGGGCATCTGAGCGCCAGTTCTCTTTTCGGCCTCCTCCTGACTCAAACCATCCCTCTGCATGAGTCGGGACAGCTGCGTCGCCGGATCACTGCCAAAATACACACTCGTCAGGTGGAGACTTCAGTGTTGGCTCACACTTGGTAAGACTTTACTTTACAGTGTCCTTGTTACATATGTTACATGTACTTACCATAGTAATAATAGTAAATTATGCATAATTACATGCAACTAACCCTCAACTAAATCTAATCCTACTATAGTAAGTACATTAATATTACTCAGAACTTACCTTAAAATAAAGTGTAACCCTTTATTTTAAGGTGACGTAGTTGCATTGTACTTACTCAAATAAGTACAGAGTAATATTTTGGTTTGGTTTAGGGTTATTTACTTGCAATTATGTATAATTTACTGTTATTACTATAGTAAGTAGTAACTACGTCACCTTAAAATGAAGTGTTACCCATAAAGTGTTACCTAAAACTATTAAAAAGTCATTGCAAAGCTGGAAAAGTAAACGCAAACCTCCATGAAAATTTGAAATCGGCAGCCGAAAAAAGTACTAAAACTAAAATAAATATATTAAATTAATATTATAGCTAAATTTGTATAAATAAATTAAAGCTAAATAGAAATATTGAAAAAATATAAACGAACGATTAAATTACTAAAAAAGTGAATGAAAACCTTTAGAATAAAAATAAAAGCTAAAATAACATTATTATCTGCTTTAAAAACTACTTGAAAGTAACCCAAGATGACTCGTGTTCCAATGATTTATGAAGAAAGATTTAAAAATGTTTATGTATATCATACCAGTATACGACAACAGTGTGGGTTAGGAACCGAGTGAGACGTCGAGTTTCGAAAAGCAGCGGCACATCCAAAATCACATACCTGTAGCCTAAAGAACAACACACACAAGCGTTTATTCACGAGACTCATGCCTGCTCATCATAATGTGCTTTGAGTGTGAGTGTACCTTTGATGAAGTACAGCAGTATTTGTTTGAACATTTCTTTATGTATTTCTGGGTGTGTGATGGAGTTCAGAAGTCTTCGCTTCTCTGGGTTGGAGAAGATTATCTGCCCCAGTTTCTGTCTGTCAATCTCGCCATTGTCTAACAATATTTCCCGTCCAAAGTGCCGTAAAATCAGTCTGTACGCTGGGCTCTGGGGCTTCACCACTGAAGCACAGAGAAAAAACACACAAATAAAGCACGCATATAAAAACACACCATATATAAACAGCACTAAACACCTTTTCGGGCAACCAGATCTGCATCGATGACAGGACAGCCTAGCTCTTTGAGTTGAGAAGACACTGTGCTCTTCCCTGAGGCGATCCCTCCGGTTAACCCCACCAGAAACATGCTGAAACACAGAAAGCATCATTTACCAATTATCATTATCATTTAGAGTATGTGCTTCAAGATTATTGATCACTGGCGCTCTCTAGCGGCCACCACTGGAATTTCAATTAAAAATTGGGCTCATTAATATGCATTTACAGGAGCTGTAGGAAACATGACAGACTCAAACAACATTTCTAATAATAATAACTAACATTACGATTGTTGAATTGTTTATATCTGTACATTGAGCGGTAAAACACAAGTTAAATCAGTTGACAAATTTAGCTTCGCTTAAAATCACTCATACCCCAACAATAATGTGGTTATAAATGGTAATAAACACTACTGACATTTTAAAATGTTAAAAATATACAGAAAGCGCAGTTACCCAACAGCAATGACCTACTTATGCTGTAAACAGAGATTATAAAAGCGTTTCTGCATACATTTACACGAAAATAAAGACGAACCTCAAAGAAATCCCAAAACACAAATCTCGCGCTTAATGGGGGGTTTCTAAAGGGTTTGGCGACTCTTTAATAATACTAAATAAATATATTCCCATTATTTGTGTACATAACATTGACCTGTTCGCTTGAAAGCAATGTTTTGCTCTTCCTCGTCTCGGTAAATAATTCAACACAGCACATTATTAGCGCCGACACGCGGCCTGGAGCTAACGACAAGTCTAAATGTGAAGCCTAAGCAAAGCTTTTTACAGGAAAACCTAATTAATTAATCCCTGCCTGAACCAACAAACTGGTTTACCATTGGCTGTAGTATTATACAATGACAACAGGTAGGCCTACAGTATGTTGACGAGTAGAAATGGCTGATTTTCAAGAGGCTTTATTGAACAACCTTGCTCTATTTTGACATTTTGTTGTTTTCTTATCACTATGCTGCCTGTACGCTTGGTAGATGCTGATTAGTTGTCTTTTAATCTACAACTCTTGGTTGTGTTGTCTATATTTTATCGCAGGATTCACACCACCCTGCCTTGGAGATGAAACACAAACACAGATGGTCAACCCAACTGGATCTACAAGTTTGTCCTGATCAAACGCACTTGCATCTAGTTTTCAAGTGAGCATGCTGACTTTGACCATGTTTAACTAGATATAGAAATTTCTGAGAAAAGTCTTTGCATTTTAAAGCTTGCCCTATGATAAGGAGTGGAACTATATGATTTAGATCAAATGTTATCAAGACCAGACTTTCAGGAAAAAAAATCATTTGAATTCTGGGTAAATAAAATGTATTTCTAATAGTATCTAGTCTCACAGGTCATTATTGTGAAATCTTTGTGTGAAATATTTTCATATTATTAAAAAATGAATAATATATCACATCAATGCAATTTGTAATGATCCATTGCATTAGCTGGCAATGAAAGTTGTTTTTAAAAAATAAACGTTTATACTCTAAAATATGATCGACAGCTGATCTGAACAGAAAATGAAGGGAAAAACCCACAAGAAATGGAATTTCTTTATTTTAGCACATGACTTTCGGACACGTCAGAAGTGAAACAGTCCATTTCACATGTGATCTTTCGAGGATATTATGAACAAATTATAAAAAATGCAAAAGATCCATCTGTTAGATTTCAGAACAATTAAGCAAAGCTGTTGTGCACAATGGAAACAACATCATATCAGAGTCATATTCATATTCAGTCAAAGAGAGAAATATTTACACAGTACAGAGGGAAGTGTGTTTTAGAGCACCACGTGTACATTGACAAAGGCATAGAGATTTCCTGTGTAAATGAACAAAATCTGAACAGATGGAAGAAGTGAATGGCTTTTGATTTTAGCTCTTATTGGTTTGAGTAAAACTCATGCTAAAAAGAGTGTGCAAATCTAAACTCAATGAAATTGTGGGTGTGTTTTTATACATTTTGAGACTACTGTATGTTAGGATTAGGGGTGTCAGCACTTACAGTATATAATCCTCTGTAGAAATCCACTTAAGCTAGATTTTAAATTTCACTCTTAATCGCCAACTTTGTGATGAGTAATCCAGAGCTTAATCTCAGTTCCAGTCAAACTTGTGTAATAGTTATTATAAGGAAGAAAGGAAGGGTTGCAAAACAAGTGACACACATATGAGACATGTTGCAACCGTGCTGTCATTTGTTGTGAGTTGACAGTCATTGCAGGAGACAGCATTAATCACTGGTCTACATGTGATTGGCATCCGATCAGCATGAGCCGAGCTATTTTTATTAAAAGTCTCTTTCCTATCATGTTTGATAGTCATCAAATAGCTCTCAGCCGTCGTGCTCCATACGGTACCCTGTAAATCTGCCTTAATTATTCATAAAATGTTGCTTATACAAGTGTTGTGCTTGTTTTGATGATGGTTAACACGAGTCAAATAATTATATGTTTTTAAAAAAATTGTCCATAGAAAAGTAACAAATAAAGAAGTGTCACAAATATCTGAATGGCTTTTTAAAATGAGCAAAGTCAGATTTTTTTTCACAGTTACAGACAGCGTGAATATTAACAGCGCTGGGAAAGTTGTGACCTGTAAACTGGTATAGAATATTTCAAATTGGCATTTGAAATTTTGGCAAATTTCTTCCCATTAGGCATCAATATACGATGCATCTATAGCATCCACCTTCATGCTTCAATAGTGTCTATTTTAATTTCTTGGCATAAAAATCTGCTAGTTATCTCATGCACATATAGGCTATCATACATATACACAAAATGCTAATTACTCTCTTTTAAACAAATGTAAGGCTGACTAAAAATGCTAATTGTGGGGAATATACATTCATTTCTACTGTATCACAGTCAATGCTTTTTCATTGTCAGTGAGAACAGGGTCCCATTGAAATACCTAATCTGGAATCAGCTTTTCCTAAACAAATTGGAGTATTAGGTGTATTGGAGTGAAAAATGTGGTTTCATATTACAATAAATCAGAACGCATTATGTAATAACTTGATATATCGTCACATCACACATAAATGTGAACATAAAAAGCCTTCCTCAATCTACTTAAAGATAATTAAGGACTAACGGTAAAAAATCCGGAATGTTTGAAATCTGACTTGTACATTTCAGACGGAAGATTGAATGAGGGATTGACATAAAAAATTATTGAGTATTGAAGGTAGAAGAACGAAGGGATACCAATAAATATACTGCATTAGAACATAAGGAAACAACATGACGTTCTGGAGACATCAAGTTCTTGATTAAAGACACAAGCTAAAATCCATCCATCCAAAAAGTTATGTATCCGCAAATCATTGAGAGTGAAAAGGTACTTTTGGATCCAATAGTTTGCAAGAGTCTAATTGGTGTGGAAATGCCCGTAGACTTTAAGACAAAGTCTTCCTCTTTGTGTGTTGATGTGTTGTGCTTTAATGCACTCGCCCTCCTTATTTTTTGGAAACGTCAATCAAATTATCATTTGTAAAACTTTCAATTCGAGTCATTATCAATTCACATCTTCTAATTGGTCAAGGCAGCTGCTGGGATTGGTTTTCTCACTCTACTTCTTGGCATTGAACACCATAAGTGGGCGCTCTTCAATACGCTGCCAGGGACTTTTCTTGTTCTCGTCTTTATCGTCGAGGTCGTTGTCGTCTTCTGGGCTGGTGACAGAGTCACGTTGCGTTTCGCTGTTGCTACTACGTGAGCTGTTACCCCTGCTTCGACCCCTTCTCGGCATTGAAGACCCCCTTGGTTCCTCAGGACCGTCATCCAAAAGAGGGGTCAAAGGGTTCTCCAGTGGCGAACTGGCCCCCATGCGGCTCACTCCTCCACTGAGGTCCAGAGGGTCATGATAGCTTGGTTTAAAGTAGTGTTTCCCGCCACTTGTACCTCCATGGCCCTTGCGCCCGCTTCCGTGGTGTTCCTCTTTGGTCTTGCGACCGGACGCGGATTTGCGGTCGTGTTGGGTATCGTGGAGACTTGTATCGCCGTTTCGGTCTTTACTGCTCCCGGCAGGGGCGCTCAATGTGCTTTGTGCGCTGTGGTTTCCGCTGTGCGTGCCTCCGTGGCCGAGATCAGCCCCTACATCTATGTACGAGTGGCGCACGTGAGCGTTGGCACGGCCGTCGAGTGATATAAACCAGGCACGAGGATGTTGCTTAACCCCCAGCTCCAGAAGCTTCTTCTCTGTGAGGGCTTGTAGCTCCCCATTCATCTGCGAAATGGTGGAGTCGTTGAACAAAACAGGGATGTGAACCGGTCCGGGTGTTCCACTTGAAGGCCAAACACTATCATCTGAGCCTGCTGGAGATGCTCCTTGTTGGGCTTCTGAATGACCTGAACCGGGGGTCTGGCCTTGGTGGTTTTGGCCTTGAATCCCGCTGCTGGTTCCCTGTGAACTCTGTCCGTCTCTGTCTGCCTGGTTCGCTCCATCCTTTCCCTGATCTGTGGCGCCGAACTCTGACGAGAGCCTCATGTAGTGGGCGGGAATCACAAGAGTTGGTACCATAGAACGGTACATGTTCTCCTTCATCTGATCCAATGAGCTGCAGAATATAATCTGACCTGGTTGCGTGTTGAGCGACGTTGGGCGAGCAAGGTGATCTGGCCCTTGCAAAACCTGCGAGTACTCCGGTGGCTTGTCAGCGATTGGTGGAGAAGGCGGATCAGACGTGTAACCACGGTTGTCATTGACAACGTGCCTCCGGCGATAGTCGTCCTTCTCGCCAGGGCTGTAGTTGCGTCCGTAGTCCTCATGTAGAAGACTGCTGTCCAGATTGCTTGTATCTGTGGATCGATGCACCTTCATGGGGAAACTCTCTGCATTTCTTTGGGCACCTTTGGACTGCTTGGTCTTGGAGGAATGCCGGAGCTTATGGGCAGGAACGTTTCTGGAAAACTCTTCCCGAGCACTCTTGAAGGCATGGGATGGGGATCCCTCGGATTTGTTGGCGTCCAAGTTGCCATTGGAGGCAGCGGGTTCAGCATGGCCACCACAGATGAGGTTCAAGTGGGACATGGAGGTGCCTTGGTCCCGTTTGGATCCGTTCAAACCAGATGGACCTTGAACCTGTTTCTGCTGCCGTCGGGGCTTTAGACACTTTCGTCTGGAAAATAAATATTGAGATTTAGTAATCTTGTAATCTTACAATCAACCCAGGTTCAGTGGGAAGACATGCCTGACATCCTGCGAAATGATTTTATAGTACGTCACTTCTTACATGTTTTAACAATATTTTCAAATTCAGATGTCCTGTGAGTGGTGCTAAAAGCACGTTCAGTTTTATTCAAAACCGATTAACATGTGGAAATGTTAAGCAAAAATAAGATGAAAATGCATTTGCTGAAGCAACCATGCCTTTTTAGTTCGCAAATTCAAAACGTATTTGTTTACAAATCATACACATGTGGTAAAGGTCGTGTTTTGAGGTCATAATAACATACTATTGTGTAAGGAACTTTATTAATCAATAATCTGCCCCTTTAATCATAATCAGCTGGAAACGACAGTGAATTGTATCTATCATAGACTGTGAAAAAAGATGGACAGCATGTCTCCGCTTCCGTCCACTGTACAAAAATGAAGCCAAAATATCCCAGTTCAGGAAATACTTGGTTCGGAGCCCGAGTCTGATCCTGAGGTGGATCACTTCCACAGACTCAATCGCAAGCACAGCTGTCAATCATGAAAAACGAACTAAAACCAAACTTATTGGGAAACGAACACTTGAACATACAGCTGCGTGATGAGAACTACTGTACCTAAAATGACCTAAACCATCTTTGGGAAAAAATTATTTGAAATGTAATAGGATTTTTTAGTTTGGCCAGAGCCCGTCTAACGGAAAGCCTTGGCACTTCCTATTAGCCCCGTTGTGTATCATCTTGGTTGCAGTTCCATTAGAATTCCACTGGAGGTGATCGCGGGCGAGAGCAGAATGAGTGGGAGTCTATGGGGCTAAACGGCTAAATGTGTCTCTTTCTCCTTCTTGTCGTTAAATCAACAGATTTTATTGTTGATTCCGCAATTTCAATATAGATTATAGGCCAAAAGTTGAATGAACGAGTACTTGTGTCCTTTTGATTTCTTACAGGTTAGGCTGTTGTTGGCCGGAACACGCTAGCATTCTGCAATTGTGTGACGTCATCACGTTTTTGAACGGATTTTTAGAACGGATAAGTGAACTTAAAAATGCAATTTTCAGCTGAGTGTATTTTCTTAGCCCTCCCCTTTGAATGCAACTTTAAAATTACTTGACAAAAAATTACATCCCGAGAAAAGTGGATTTCTGGGGGTGAAACCCCATTGACTCCCATTCATTCTGCACTTGACCGCGAGCGTCCCCGCATGGACAGAGACGTGTTACTGCAGCCAGTCCAGAAACCGGAAGTAACCAGCCAGTGCCAATTCTCTTCAATTAGACATTCTCTGGTTTGGCTTGCATCCCATTTGCTTACATGGAGAGGGCGGGGTTTAAGACCTATCCTGCAGTCAGCCACCAGGGGGCGATCAAAATGCTTCACTTTCAAAATGTGTGCGGCACACTTGGTATGTATAAATACTTTTTTGGTTAAAACATTTTTAGGAGAGGGCATGTTCTTCCACTGAGCCTATTTTGCTTGTAATAACACATGCTTTAGACAAACTAGTACACACCTGCAGTAGTAGAGTAGGACACAGAGTAAGACTAGTACCAGCAGTGCCAGAGATCCCAGGATGGACAGCAGGAAGAAGGTGTGGTAGGCCGTGATATCCCTCAGGCCTGGGTGAGACAAACCTGAGCCTAGAGTTCAAATACAAAGCATTCATTTGTGTGCTTTTTTTGTTGTTGGCAAAAACCAGTGCGGTTGCATTTGAGTATATCACCTGCTGAGGAACGGAAGGCTGCGATCCAGTAGCCAAGCTGGGAGGCAGTGAAGTCCCACGTTAGCTGTGTTCCCTCTCGAGTGATAAATCCTGTTCCATTTCGTACCCATAGTCCTAAGGAACAAACACATAGCATTATTTAGAAAATGATTAGCTAGCATTGATTGGGCTTTAGCAGGACTTTCTGGAGGTCTTTGTTGAATAAAAGCATGTCTGGTTCAGGATTTTGGACATTGGGCCTCATTTCCAAGTTAGTCCAAGGCGAGATTCTCTGATCACTGTGATCGCCTATATAATCCTGCACAGTGAAATAAATAAGAGGGATTCAGGACGGACTTTGAGACTGACGTCATGCGCGTTCCCGCTTGCCTGGCTATGTCTGTGTATTCGCCGCCATTCTCCGTATCAGCGAAGACAACTCGAGCGGCAAAATTTTAGTCAACTTTCGGCAAAAGTAGAAGATGGATTCAAAGAGACCGGCTTGTAGTTCATTCCAAACCCCAACGCAAACTCCACGTCAGACAAAGAAGATAAAACGTTTGTCTAGTGCCAGGCGTCGGAATAAGACGAGAGTCGACATCGGGAAGCTTTCAACAAATGGAGAGATCTCCGGTCGGCTCTAGGGCTCAAACGGGATTAAAGTAATAACTTATATTGTTCATGAACGTGTTTCCATAATTACACAATCATAAGTGGATACAGTAAACACATAAAACAGTTCAACATGGAGACAGATGGAAACAAAAAACGAAGTTTTCCCCTCACACACACATAAGTGTGTAATTTACTCAAATGCGTTTCCTTTATATTAAAAATGACTTGCAGATCTGAAGACATTATGACTTTAACAAAAGATTTGTGCGGCTGATGCTCCTTTGGTTATGATCAGCTCATGCAAGCGTGTGTGTGTGTGGTCCATGAGCGTGCACACCTCTGGTTGCAGTTTCGCTTGTCGCCAGAGGGGGCATAGTTCTGCAAAAACTCAGAGACTTGCGCAATGCACCTTTAAAGGGTTAGTTCACCCAAAAATGAAAATTAAGTCATTAATTACTCACCCCCATGCTGTACCAACCCCGTAAGACCTTCGTTCATCTTCGGAACACAAATAAAGATATTTTTGATTGAATCTGAGGGCTGGATCACTCTTCCATAGACAGCCTGAGGGACTGCCTCTTGACGGCCCAGAAAGTCATTAAAAGAAAAGGTTTAAATATTCCATGTGCCTACAGTGGCTCAACTATAACTTTATCAAGCGACGAGACTACTTTTTGTGCGAAAAAAAAACGTAAATAACGACTTTATTCGACTTTCCATTACTTCCTTATGGGCGCATGCGCGAGAACTGAGACGAGACCGTTCTTCTTCGACTACTTTTTGTTACCGGCTGCTCACCGCTTAGAAGTTTTACCGCCCCCTACCGTATAAGATGACGTACTGATATAGCTGGAGGCGCAAAACGTTCTGTTTACAAGCAGTACGTCATCTTATACGGTAGGGGGCGGTAAAACTCCTAAGCGGTGAGCAGCCGGTAACAAAAAGTAGTCGAAGAAGAACGGTCTCGTCTCAGTTCTCGCGCATGCGCCCATAAGGAAGTAATGGAAGTCGAATAAAGTCGTTATTTACGTTTTTTTTCGCACAAAAAGTAGTCTCGTCGCTTGATAAAGTTATAGTTGAGCCACTGTAGGCACATGGAATATTTAAACCTTTTCTTTTAATGACTTTCTGGGCCATCAAGAGGCAGTCCCTCAGGCTGTCTATAGAAGAGTCATCCAGCCCTCAGATTCAATCAAAAATATCTTTATTTGTGTTCCGAAGATGAACGAAGGTCTTACGGGGTTGGTACAGCATGGGGGTGAGTAATTAATGACTTAATTTTCATTTTTGGGTGAACTAACCCTTTAAAGATGATAGTACATACCTGTCTTGGTGTCGTACATCCATACAGGAATGCTGGTTGCAGATCGTATGCGAGTATCAGAAGGCAGAGGCACGGAGATGTGAACGGGCTCGCTGACCTCAACCGCTCGACCCTCGCGGTCAAACAGTTGTGCACTGACCGCTGCTATCGTTGTCAGGTCCGTCCAGCCGTTCTCTCCTCCTTAGCACAGTTACACCATCATGAATATACGGCATTGTCTACAGACCTCTTTCATACTGCAAGACTCTCTTATCTCACAATTTTTAGTCTTATATAGAAAGACTGTTTTTCGGACCTGTGTTGTTTGGTTCCAGAGCGAGTGGATAAGGGAATGAGTTGATTTCATTCTGCTCTCTGGCTGTTGTTAATACTGCGGTCAGTTCTGTGTAGGAGGAGTTAAACTGTAGGCTCCGCCTTGGAACTTGCAGCCATGGCTGGCTCCGCCCACCTGAAGGTTTAAACAGTAATAGAATACAGTACATTAGCGCCCGCCCCCTTTTTCAGCAGCACTGGTTCTAGGAGAATTTTTTCCATTCATTTTTCACAAAAAGTCATTTTTAAAGAAGCCATGAACCAAGATAATCAGCTACGAGGTGAATCACTACAAACTTTGATTTGAAACAAAAAAGGACAAAAATGGACAAAAATACACAGGAACAAGCCTGTGTACTTTATGTATTTAGTGAGACAAAGAACTACAATGAATAATTGCGAACAGCATAATCGAATTAAAAATGATGGAGAAACAAAACTACTCATTTACAATCGATTGCATCATTCACAGTGCTTCGTGGGAGTGGGCGGAGCTAAAGACTGTTGCTTGTTTCCACTCTCTGATTGGTGGAATTTTCTGTACAGCATCATGGGTAATGTAGTTTTTCACCACAGATTCCACTGTTAAACACGATTATTTTAAAACTAAGTTGAAATCTTGCGGGAGGACGTCTTCAACAGAAGCAAATACCATTGATTAACAACCTTGTAGCTCACAATAACTTTACTACTTTTATTATAAAGATTAATACGCCACATAATTAAAAAGTCATGGCCGAAATGTGTTTATTGGTAAATCGATGGTATTTGAGGTGGATTTTCTGAGGTGGATTTGGATTTTCCACATTATTTGGAGACTTTGAAGTCACACAGAAATGTTCATTAATGGAATGTACACAATCTTTTTCAAAAATGTTGATGTTTTGTATGGGTATAGAATATTTTTATACAAAAGTTTGTGTAAACCAACATTACATACTAGACTGAATTCTTAAGTTTGGTAACCACCAAGTGTATTTTGGCATAGAAATGTCTTCTAATGTGTGCGTATGACAACTAAGGCCATCTCTGCGTTGGATAAAAGCGTATGATAAATCACTAAATGTAATGTACGCTGGGTTACCACTTAGGCAATTCACTTCCTTTGTTCTAACATTTTGTGAAATGTAAGCCTCTCCAAAGCACAGCACAGATAACCTTAGAAATGGCTGTCTTTACTCCACAATAAATGCCCTATGATTACAGTGGAATTGGAGCAATTAGATAGCAGATTCAGATGCCAAAAGATTCTGTAATGGCATTAGGATATTTCTGCTGTTGCTATGGTGACAGCTGCAGGAAACTGAAGTGTCAAGTTGACATAAGTTGAAAGCTTTAAAGAGAAGACAATATTGATATATGGACACATGCCATGGATTTGTCAACTAGGTGTCACTTTTTCGTAACCCACAATCCTCAATAATAATCAAATATTTTGTGATAATCGTGTGTGTATATATATATATATATATATATATATATACAAGTTGCTTTAAAGGTCACAGATGTTTCCTTACTTGGGGAGCCATGAAAGACCTGGATGACATCATCATATAGGATCAGTGTTCCAGGCTTCTGGGCCATCAGGTAAAGACTGACAGAGGCATATACTAACAGAGAGAGAGAGAGATTTGTTTAAAAAAATGATAATGGACATCAATATCAACTTCACTTACAGTATATCAGAATTGACAGATTTTTACAGATTCGCTATATTTACTCACAGGGTACGCGGCTGGCGTGCCAGGGCACTGAGCTGGTGAGGTAATCTCTCTGAGATGCCGTAATGATTACCCATGTTCCTGTGCGGTACAGAAAGCTGACCACCTGTACGCCATCACTGCCTGCTTTGCTTTGTGCCAGCACACTCTGGTTCCCATGAACCGTAATATCAGCGTTGGACAGGGGTGAAAGATCACCGCCGTCAAACACCTGGACCCTCACCTGCACCTCTGAGAGGGATAAAACAAGTTCACATGACCAGATGCATGGTAACAGCATTATCATATTTACGTTCAGAAATAGGAAGTCAAACATCATGGTCCTATTATATGATGCACTAAAACCTCTCAGATTTGAGCACAGACAGCTTCATGATTCTCATAAAAAAATATGAGGCAGCTCTCAAACTGCATTCACAGCTCACTCTGGAACAATAGCATGCAATCATATAGACAGCTGAAGTAATAAATAAGCACACGTAATGAGAAAATCTTAGATTTGCATGATTGACAGGCACACCAAAAGCTGTTTAGATTCAATATACGTTTTTGTGCAGCCAACAGCTTAGGAATGTCTAACAGGGAAAGGCCAGTATTGCAATAACATACACTTATTGTTTCTGGTCTATAAAGCCATGCGAGGCATTTAGAGTAAAATTCGTCAAAATCTGAATTTCAGATTTTGCATTTAGCAATCAGAGGCTGATGTATACAAATGATATGCTTTTGCATTCGTATTTAGCGCGTTTGCTCGATGTTTTACAAATAAAATAGCCCACCACCACTCCCTCATCGAGACCCGCTATGCGCCCCTTTATTCTCCACTCACCGAGAGCTTCCCTTTCAGGGATCGATTTGCCAGCTGTCCCTTTGAAACCGGACAAAAATAGAAAGAAAATAAAACGAGAGAGCAAAAAGGATGGCATCTTGAAAGCTACATCGCTGTTTCCACCTCGACAGCCATTTGTGTACGTGTTTTTTCAGACATGGTCGCCAGCATCCTTCTGTGTGATGCGGGATGCTGCGCTGCCGCCTGTCGTTGTCAGTGGAAGAGGAGAAACAGCGGCCTCGTGCGGTCAAATTGAGCAGCGCTTTAAAAAAAATCCTACTATATCAATATTGTTTGTTTTGTGAAGAATTTGTTCTGTTTGTGTTTGCTTAACCCTCATTTTATCCCTGGGGTCAATATGACCCCAATCGACTTTTCCGAAGTAAATAAACATGGTTCCCTTGATCTCAGATGCATAAAATTTTGTGACTTTTTCTACATTAGCCTATCTATATACACACACAAAAAAACTGGGCTTGATTCGGTTGTTCTAAAGGTATGTAAAACAAGTCACACTCAATACCATCTATCTATCTATCTATCTATCTATCTATCTATCTATCTATCTATCTATCTATCTATCTATCTATCTATCTATCTATCTATCTATCTATCTATCTATCTATCTATCTATCTATCTATCTATCTATCTATCTATCTATCTATCTATCTATCTATCTATCTATCTATCTATCTATCTATCTATCTATTCTGCATTTTATCAGAATAAAAGCCACACTTCATGGGAAGTCTGCAAACATTGTCTCAGTAAACACCTAGAGGGCGCTATTTAAATAATGCATGCTGATCTATTCTATTCAGATCTATGAGATTCAATGAACTCAACACGAGGTCAGATTCATGTTAGAGTCCATATTGAGAACATGTTGACTTCAGGAATCAATAATTGTGGGAAAGGTGAAAGATACGAATGAAACAGTGGGGTAAAGCCATGTCCCATGCTGACCCACAGGTATTCCTGCTGTGAAATAGGTCAGTTGAACAGCATGTTAGCCAAAGGGAAGGGGGGTTCGAGGGGCTGGTGGTCTTCTCCCACTTATTTGGAGAATCCTGGAAATCATTAAAGGGATAGTGTCATACTTTACTCACCCTCAAGTTGTTCCAAACCTGTATAAATGTCTTTCTTCTGGTGAACACAAAGGAAGTGTTTTGAAAAATATGGGTAAGTAACCAAACAGTTGATACTTCCATAATATTTCCTCCCATTGAATTAAATGGGGCACATCAACTGTTTGGTTACCCATATTCTTCAAAACATCTTCTTTGGTATGTATTTATCTTATTATTACATGTTAGAAACTGACATTAATACTTTAACATTTTATGAAATTTCGATGGCCATGGATGGCACTATAATTTTTAAAAGATTCTGTTTTATGTTTCCTCAAGCATCCTTGTCCCACAGTTGAGATATTACACTTAAAACACGGTTATATATGAACTATTGGCCACATTATCATAGTAGAGGTTGCGTATGACGTAGATGAAATGATTTTACACCAATATTGACCTTTTTTTCATAGTAACACACCAAAATGTTTATTTCATACACCCCGCTCCGCAACCGCATACAGTACATGCTTAAAAACTAAGCACACTGCCTGCCTGAGTGCCTGTGCCTGCCTGTCCTTCCTTAATCTTTGATTGGCAGCCGAGACGTCCAATCACAGCGACGTTCACCGCGCGTTACGCGACATTCTATTCGCTCATTTGCCACCGCGTGCGTCAAGCTGTTCCACGGAGACAACATCGCCTCCTGGCCAATCACAGCTTACTTCCGAGCCGCTTGTTTCCCGCCCTCTTCACTGTATCTTTTACATTCTTTCGCACTAAGTATCAAAGGTACTTTGAATCCAGTTACGCTACACACCAGTGCGCTATCAGCATCTATATTGGGGATTTATTACGAGGTTATCAGGACATATTTTTTATTTTTATGTTCCTCAAAAGCAGAAGGGAGGAAAGGAGCCCGTCACTTTGTTCCCGTCATCAGTAACATCAGTAAACAGCAGGTAGGGATGATGCTTTCTGACACTATAATGTTCATCGGAGGGATGATGATCTGTAGTGTGTTGGAGACGATGGGTGATGGAGATATGTGGGGTATCTTACACTGATTGCCGCTTTTTATAGCTGGTGTGCTAACAATCCGTTATTGGCCTTGATAATACTTTGCCATAGCCCACAAATCCATCGATATTTAATGACAGGAGACTCCCAGGTCAGCTGCATGCTGTCATTTCGACCTTATAATTAAACCTCCTCACCTGCTGATCAAGCTTGTAATGCTAGTTTATACTGGATGAGTGTGTTTTCTGGCTCTGTGTTTGTTTTGCCCGCTAGTTTTTTTTTTTTTAATTACTATGGGTAGTTACTGATTAATTGCTGCTGTTATGCAATAAACCAGTTTTATAATTCAGAGAGTCGGTTTCTTGTGGGAGGACTAATTTGCCATTTAAATGATAAGCCCTTGATAGAGTCTGGCACCTGTCCATTACGGTCTCAGATATTTTTTGACAATTTTTTTTTAAAGATTTGAAAATTATTATGTTCCCTGATTCCAAAAGATCATACTCTAGTGTTTTAGTGCTACATATGTGAAATAATTCACTCGTTATTTTTAATTGGGTTAAAGTTCATTCAATTCATCCCTGTGCAACGCCCTCTTCTGGTCAGTTGTGATAGTGCACTTGTAAATGCCTCATTTGTATGTTTCATGCTCTGGTTTCAATCCCAGAAAGCAGCGCCCCATGTGATGACGTGGATTGTTTATTTGCATAATTTTTTTTTTTTTTTAACTTACTTTCTATCTTACCAGATCTTTTAGTGAGCCTATTTTTATTCTAATTTTGATTAAATGTATTTACAATAAAAATATTTGTAACATTTTATATATATATATATATATATATATATATAATTAAAAATACTTGTCTGGGTGTAGGGAAAAATAAACAGTGGAGAATATTTTTATTAAAAAAGTCATTTTTAGGAACAAAAATTTTGATGAAATCAAAAAAGTATGTTTTGTTCAGGTCACATGGTTTAGAACTCATGACATAAAAAATACATTCAGATTGCGTAATGTGTTCTTTCGATCACCTTTCTATTACTTTATTATTTATATACTAGTTTTATAGTATTTATTAATATTTTAAATTCGTTTTTATTATATTTTCAGTTTTCATTTAGTCATTTTGTTATAATTTTGTCTTTTTAAGTAGTTCTTATATTTATATAATTATAAAAAATAGAAATATAATAGAATTGAAATATTCTATTTCTATTTTAGTTAACACTAACAACGCTTCTCTGTCACTGGTACACATGAATTGTTTATATGCATGTGCAATTATATAGGCACGTTAATTACTTTCATAATGCTTTGACAGTGTAGAGTAAAGCTGTGTAAGTCACTGTACATATGAAGATTTAATGGCGCACACGGTGAATCTTGATGACTTCTGTATCAGTGTTTTGCTTGAGCAGTCACTAGGGAACCCTTTGCTCTTGGTTGCCATAACAACACTGTTGCCATAGATACATCTTCTCTGGATGTAGATGTGGGAGTTGTTTTATGTATTTATAAGTTTGATTTATACATAAAGTGTAAATGAGAAATGAGTTTTAAAGGGATTTTCCGTTCGTTACACAGACCGGAAAGAGCTTCTTGAGGATTTCATAAGCATAAAACGAGCCTTCAACTGAAATGTCTGTATCAGCACTGCTCTTCCCTTAATGGATCATAACTCAAAATGTCAAACTTGTTGATTCATAATGGATGGTGATCAGGTGTAAGGGAGATATAACGAGAGCTGCTTGCATAAAGGAGCTTTGCTGCAATGAAATTTGAGCCGCCGTTTTAAAAGCCTCACACTCTCTTCAGAAATGGCAGAAGCCCATCAGGCCGTGGCGTTTCAGTTCACCATCACTCCTGAGGGGATCGACCTGCAGCTGTCCCATCAGGCCCTGAGACAGGTCTATCTGTCAGGCCTCCGCTCCTGGAAGAAACGCGTCACACGCCTGAAGGTAAACGTCAAATCATATTTGCATCTTTCTTTATGTGATGTGGTTTTTGTGAGTAAATAATGTTTGGGTTGGAAATTGGTTTAAATGCAACTTGATTTTATTGGATTGTGGATGTTAGGCTATGGTACTATTATCAGTTAAAGTGCCCCTATTATGTTTTATTTTTCCGGATATTACCTTTTAATCAAATGTATGATATGACTTTTTGTGAAGTTTCAAAGATCACAGTGCAGATAAATGAAGTAATAGGGAGCCTAAGCCCCTCCCCTTCCGGTCGACCACCACGGGACCTTATTTCGGAAAATGTATGCTAGTCAATCGCGAGAGACAACAAATATTTTGATCTCGTTTGAATTGTGTCTGAATTACATGCATGATGTTTGTCAATTTAAAAGATGCATTTTAAAAGTCAAGAAAGTCACAGTCTGAGGTAAAACTGTTGAGGTATAAGACTACAAACCCCAAAAGGCGCACATTTTCTCTCAATGAATGAAGCTAACTTAACTGAAGCTAACGTCTGTCATTGTTTCTATAGTCTTGCGTTATAATCGAAACGTTACGAGTGTTTTGTAGCAGACTGCACACACACGAGCAGCGGATCTCGCTCGTTGTTTCACTTCCTGGGAGATGTAGTTCTTTGAGCGATTTTCACATAAAACTAAATGTTCCTCTTTTGTTTCATGACAAACTGCGACTTTCTTGACTTTCATAATTATCTTTTAAATTGACAAACATCATATGTGTAATTCAGGGCACAGTTCAGACGGAATAAAAACACAAGTTGTCCCTCGCCATAGTACCACACATATTTTTTACGAAATAAGGTCCGATGAGCCAGAAGCGGAGGTGAGGCTCTCTATTGGCTCACAAACTAAATAATAAATTCTGAACGGCCTGAAACGAGTCTTCAGGAATTTCCATTCTTATTCCCTGCATAAACCTAATTAGGTTTGTAACAAATTTGCATTATTTTTTTTTTTTTTTTTACTTGTGTGCCAATGTTTATTTTTATTTTTTTATTTATTATTTTTATCAGAACAAGGTACATTGACAGTATTCAGTGAGATTTTGATATTTGATTGATTATTAAATCTGTCCGGTTTGTTTGTTGATAATTCTCACACATTCCCCAGCTGCATTTCTCAGTGTCTTTTGTTGTTTATTCTGGCCGTCTTTTCTCATTTTGTTTATTGCTTCTCTCGTACAGAACAATGTGATCACCGGCGTGTATCCCGCTAGCCCGTCCTCATGGCTGTTTGTCGTCATAGCGATCCTGGCCACCATGTACACGCGCTCGGACCCTTCCATGGGCCTCATCGCTAAAATCCAGGAACATCTGCCTGTCAGGTAAAAGAGCTCACATTGTGGCCTCAGACTAATTGAATTTGATCCCAGATCAGAAAACAAATGAATTATCTGCATTGTGAACTCTAAGATACACATGAAGCATTTGTCATGCTCTTATGTAAGTCACTTTGCAAGCTTTTTCAAAGGATATTAGTTCCCCCACCCATGAAAACATAAGCATGCCAGCAGAGGGTGTGTACCTCCATCACACACCTTGATTGAGTTGGTTTCAGACTAGAGTAAAAGTTTGTGTTCCAATAAATGTATGTTACAATGACTTTAAATAATGAATAGCTGGTAAAAATTCTGTCATTTTAATCCATTCTTATGTTTTCTTTACTTTCCTGTGTTTTTTCCCCTCTATTAGATTTTCTGAAATATTTGGGAAAAGCATTTTAATGTTATTATTTAATAATACTTCCTTCCTAAAGTTTAGGGCCTGTAAGATTTTTAAAAAGAAATTAACTGTTCAATTTAGCAAACGTGACAGTAAAGACATAATAATGCTACAAAATATTTTAATTTCAAATACTGTAAATGCTGTTCTTTTGAGCGTTCTCCTCCTCAAAGAGTCCTGAGAAAAATGTATCACGGTTTCCACAAAAATATTAAGCAGTTCAACGTTGATACTAATAATAAATGTTTCTCGAGCATTCTTCTTTCAAAAACATTACAAAATCTTGTAAACTTTTGAGTGGTAGTGCATGCATTTTTAGATTTTTAGTGTTATTAAAAAAGACTTGAAGTTGTGTCCTCTGGTTATGCAGCAAAACAAAATTTAAATACTTATTTTTTAATCATTGTTTTTTAAATGTATTTATTTATTTAAGGGAAGGTCTTACTGAGATACAATATCTCTTCTAGTCCTGGTCAAGATGTGCAGCAGAACAAAGAAAATTCACATAAGAAGAACATGAAAACCACACTGTAAACAAACACAAAACAATAGGTCTGAAAGGGTATTTACAATCCTTAAAAAATGACATTCACCTTATCAAAGTGCATCAGTTTCATAGTGTCCCAAAAGCTAGATAAGTTCTGACGTATAGCATACAGCAGTGTAATGCTGTGTGTGTTTGGTTGTAGTGATTCCCTGAGCATCCAGTGTCGGACGGTGGTTTCCGCCGTGTTGTTCAGCACTCTGCTCTGGTTCTCCCTGATCTTCACCATGAGGCTTTGCCTGAAGCAGTTACTGTCCTATCACGGCTGGATGTTTGAACAGCATGGGAAGGTGTCTAACACCACAAAAATCTGGGCGGTAAGTACAGTCATGCTATCAGACACACCCAGCCTACAACCACCCAACCTGCAACTGGAAATACAGGTGAAGTGTTTTCAATAGTGATGCAAGGATGTGAAAATTGTAGCAGATACCGATAACCAATATTAATATTGCTGTTATGGCCAATACCGATATTAATATTGCTGTTATGGCCAATACCGATATTAATATTGCTGTTATGGCCGATACGATAACCGATATTAATATTGCTGTAATGGCCGATACCGTTAACCGATAATAATATTGCTGTTATGGTCGATACGATATTAATATTGCTGTTATAGCCGATACGATAACCGATATTAATATTTCTGTTATGGCTGATACCGATAACCAATATTAATATTTCTGTTATGGCCGATACGATAACCGATATTAATATTTCTGTTATGGCTGATACGATAACCGCTATTAATATTTCTGTTATGGCCGATACCGATAACCCATATTAATATTTCTGTTATGGCCGATACGATAACCGATATTAATATTTCTGTTATGGCCGATACGATAACCGATATTAATATTTCTGTTATGGCCGATACGATAACCGATATTAATGTTGCTGTTATGGCCGATACCATTAACCGATATTAATATGGCTGTAATGGCCGATACTGTTATTAATATTGCTTTTATAGCTGATACGATAACCGATATTAATATTTCTTTTATGGCCGATACCGATAACCAATATTCATATTTCTGTTATGGCCGATACGATAACCGATATTAATATTTCTGTTATGGCCGATACCGATAACCAATATTCATATTTCTGTTATGGCCGATACGATAACCGATATTAATATTTCTGTTATGGCCGATACGATAACCGATATTAATATTTCTGTTATGGCCGATACGATAACCGATATTAATATTTCTGTTATGGCCGATACGATAACCGACATTAATATTTCTGTTATGGCCGATACCGATAACCGATATTAATATTTCTGTTATGGCCGATACGATAACCGATATTAATATTTCTGTTATGGCCGATACGATAACCGACATTAATATTTCTGTTATGGCCGATACCGATAACCGATGTTAAGTTTGCTGTTATGGCCGATACAATAACGGATATTAATATTGCTGTTATGGCCGATACCAATAACCGTTATTAATATTGCTGGTATGGCCGAGACCGATATTTACCGATGTCGATATCGATATACTGTATATTGCGATATAAAAACAATTTTACCAGATGACTTGAATAGCTTTGCTTGGAAAGAATGAATCATTCTAGAATGACTGGTTTTGTTGTAGAGTAAATCCGCATAGAAACCAATTTTAATCGAATGTTAACTAATGTAGTTAACTAGATTTTAATAAATGGAACCTTATTATAAAGTGTTTCGGATTTATGTCTCTTGAGTTCAGTGTTGGACAGATCAGGTTTTTAACCATTCTTTAAAGTAAATTGATTCAAAGGAGTCATCAGTTCGCGAATCGGACGTGTCATTAATGGACCACGGCACTTGTGTGATTATCCAGGCGGTTTTGGACATCGCACAAGATTTGTTTCAACACAGAAAACATATATATATATATATATATATTTTTTTTTTATATTTTTATTTTTATATAGATATATTTTTATATTTATATTTTTAGTATGGTTTATGTCATCTGAATGTGTGGAAAGCTCTTAAAAAAAATCATTTTTATTTTTAGTTAACTGTAATAACCCTGGAATCAACCTACAAATATTTGATTTATACTGGACATAGTTGTCTATGCATATTAAACTAGGTAGGAGAAAGTATTTGAAAATCACAAGTAAAAACATGTGTGTGTTATAAATGTGTGTGTTTTCAGGCCATGGTCCGGATCTTCTCCGGCAGGCAGCCTCTGTTGTACAGCTACCAGGGCTCTCTGCCCAACCTGCCCGTTCCAACAGTGAAGGACACTGTTAACAGGGTGAGATCATCGGCAAACTGCATCACTGAATACACTTTAAATGGCAAAAATGATGATTTATTAAATCTCTCCTGCTGTAGTTCCTGGAGTCTGCGCGTCCGTTGATGAGCGATTCCGAATTCGAGAGGATCACGACTCTGGCCAAGGAGTTCGAGAGCAGTCTGGGGAACCGCCTGCAGTGGTACCTCAAGCTGAAAGCCATGTGGGCCTCCAACTACGTGAGAACAACTAGCAAACATCCACATGAGCTCAACATGCAACCTTCAAAACGCTGTTTGCAACCTCTTTTACTTCCTTGGTCTAAATATTTCAGAGCGAAACTGAGTATTTTATAAAGAAATTGTAGGACGGAATTGAATTTTAGTTATCAGGATTTGATTCGTGATTTGAGGAAAGTGGTTGTGTAAGTTGTTCAGAGTAGGAACAATTGCATTTTTCTTACGTTTTAATGAAAGAGTATAAAAACAATCAATGATATGTTCTGATAAGCAGAGACAAGGGGTTAAGTTTAATATTTATATAACACGAAGGCAAATTGGGTGAATTTTGGGTGGGATTGTGCCGTTTGATTTCCTGGCCTTTTTAAATTTAAGATTGAATTGAGGCTGGGCTATTATAGCTGAAAATGTACTTCTTCCAAATATAGACGATTTTCAAAATATAAATCGATATTTCTGCATTTTCTCTTGAGGAATTTTAGGGTACGTTTACACGACATTGCATTTTTCAGTCTGCGCCTGCCATGATTTAAGTGTTTAGAAATGAAATTCATGAGATGGTTGTTCTCAGATTTCATTGGTGATTTCAAACATGAAATTTAATCACAAGCTTAATGAACGGCTGCTTAACTATAGCTAAACTGTTCAACATTATTGCAATGTTCGCAATATTCCCTAATTTTATATTGTCAACAAAGATATCAAGATATACAGTAGTTCAATAATATTTGATGCATCATCCAGCCCTAGACTGAATTAATTTTTCGGTAACACTTTATTTTACAGTGTCTCTGTTACACAGGTTACATGTATTAGTGTAGGCCTAGTAATAACTATAAACTATAATTGGTCCCACTTTATATTAAGTGGCTTTAAGTACTATGTACTTACATTTAAAAATAAGTACAATGTTTTGTAAATCACTTTTGCTGCTATTGAGGTGTGATACGGGTAAGGTTAGGGACAGGTGTGGTGGTATGGTAAGTGTAAGGGATGGGTCAGCTGTGTAATTACAGATGTAATTACATAAATTAATTACGGCTGTAATTACATGCTGGTATTTTTTAAATATAAGTACAATGTAAAAACATGTGTGTACACAATAATTCCTTTGTATCAAATTATTAATTTCAATGTAAGTACATGGTACTTAAAGCCACTTAATATAAAGTGGGACCATGTATATTTACACTGCAACACGGACATCATAAAATAAAGTGTAACCGATGTTTCTTGTCTGCATCTTTAAGGTCAGTGATTGGTGGGAGGAGTATATCTACCTGAGGGGGCGTGGCCCAATCATGGTCAACAGCAACTACTATGGAATGGTAAGACTCGCTGTGAAGCCTAGTTCAGACTACATGATTTCAAGCCCGATTTGCAAATTTGTGTTTATCACGTGCAAATCGCGGGTGACGAACGCTCGCCATTTAGTTGGTATGAAAGAGCCAACAACGCATCAAAGACGCTCGCAGACGTGTCGCCGAGCCCAGAAAAGTATCTAGCATGCTATAGACCCCTTTTGCGCCGACGTCACAGTTACGTCACGGCGCTAGCTGGAGGCAAAACAAAGTGAAAACTGGAGGCGGTCAATGCAAAACAGCACAGATTCGGCTAGATAATAAGGAGCTTAAATATTTGTTACTATTATTACATGTCATCTTGTTGTGTTGTTTGGTGCAAGAATTGATGAAAAATGAATATGCTGTATCTGGAACTTTTATTTCTAGAAAATATTCACATCATTAAAATCGCACTGTAATGTCACTCTTTACATTGTCGTGGTCTCGGCGCTGGCTCGGCAGAACTGCGGATCGTACACACAAGTCTTGTACAGGACCAGATGGGCATCTAAAGATTTATATGCCCTCAGTTTCTCTTTACGATCGGTTTCTCTGTAAGGTAGGTGTAGAAGTCGTGTGTTACGTGTTGCGTAACGTACGTTAATCCTGTCAGATCATCCATGCATTGAGTGAGCGTGTAGGCGGCTACGGGTCGGCCAATCTGGTTCTGTCCGTTAAAAATAACTTTTGGAAATAACAATCGCGGTCCTGGACAATGAGTGACCTTACTCATTAAGATAATATCGGATTTTCTCCAGTCATTGTTAAAAAACAAGCTAACTATCCTTGCTAACTAGCGTTAGTGAAGCGGCCAGATGGATGTTTCTGCCTCCACCTAAGCTCCGCCCACAAAAAAACGTCACCATGTTTACCAACTGTAAAAGGGTCTATAGCTAGGCTTAAACAAGCAGGAAGTTCTTGTGGTTTGTGTGATTTCATGTTTTTAAGTGGTTCTCTTTCATTCGCAGGACTTCCTGTACGTGACGCCGACACCGATTCAAGCGGCGAGAGCAGGAAACACGCTTCATGCTTGTCTCTTGTACCGCAGGAAACTCAACAGAGAGGAAATCAAACCTGTGAGTTCACATTGCAGCACTGACAGATGGAATGAAGTGGAGGGTGAAAGCCCTCGTCGCCCCCAGCGAGGACACATTGATCACAGAGCTGTTTTTAGCTGTGCACTTTGTTGGGGTTTCAATTATATGGATTGGGTAATAGTGTGTGTGTGTGTGAATAGAGAACAGCCACAATCATCTATATCTACCGAGTCAGTTTTTTTGGTAAAAAAGTACGCAGGAGTAAAAACGTATTCCCGTTATATGTACATATACCATATCGTACAATTAGTTTACTGTGTTAGCATGCAGTATAAAGCAGACTAGCATAAAACAGCCCACATTTATATATTAACATTTAGGGCTGGGTAATAAATATCGATTTCTCGATATTAATCGATTCTCATTTTTACGAACCGATATCGATTCTTAAATCTCAAGAATCGATTATTCATCCTGTTTCATTTGAATGAATGGGACATTGTATTGCGGCTGTGCGCATCCAAAAAATCGCAATAATCTTTGTCCTTTGTTACTATTGATATGAAATTTGTCTCAATACCCAGCCCTATAACATTATGTATTAGCATCAGTTGGTGAAAGAGCATTTGTACTATGCCAGTGTGCAGTATTTACAGTTGCAGTTACAGCTTCTTAAAGGGATAGTACAATAATTAGAATGAAAATGAGTATTTTCAGACTGTAATTGTCAGCGAGAGGGTGGAAAATGGTTAAGTGACCTTGACTAACATTATAACTCTGTCTTTTAGAGTCGTGTTCCAGGTTTGAATATTCCTTTGTGTGCCGCTCAGTGCGAGAGGATTTTCAACACCACACGCATTCCAGGAGAAGAGACAGGTAACGCTAAATGATTTTTTGAAACAAGTCCTTCTAATACTTAATATTTGATTAAGGCGAGACACGGTAGGCAAAAACATCGTTTTTGTTTTTTTTTCACTGGTCAATTTTGAGATTTTGGGATATTTGTCTTCAATAACATGTCTTCTTTCAGACTTGTGGTGTCCGAAATACACATTTAGGTCTTTATTTTACTACACTTTGTCTGTTTGCGTCTGTAGATTTCTTTTAAATTCTTCAAAAGTTGTCGTTATAAATCATCCTGCTGCTCACCCTGTGTCAACACACACACAGTCAGAAAGCTCTCTTTCTCATGTACAACGCTGTCAGATCCAAATATGGTCATTTTCCTTTTTATGAGCAACCAATCGTGAAAGTAAAAGGGAGGATTTAACTCTAAATGCGCAATCTCATTGGCTGATGCTAAATCTTTAAAGCCAGTTTTCTGTCCGAAATCTCCACTTCATTAGCACATATATACACACCAAGCTTTCCAGTCTTGTACCTAGTTATATTATGAAGACATTTACTGAGGGATTTGTAAATATATTATTCCTAGCCTGATTTATATAACATTTTATTCCAAAAAAAAAAAAAACATGGGGAAAATAATTTTTTAAGGCAATTGGTAGTATATTCTGATTTACAGGATAACAAAAGTAGATATCCATAAATCCCTCTGTAATTTTTTTCTCATCTAATATGTGAACACAATAAAAAAATATTTTGAACCTGGCTTTATCCAATACTCAAATTTCGTTTTGTAAAAAAAAGATGCAAATGAGTGCATATTTAAGTAGATAATGCCTCATTTGCATATTTAAACATTAAATTACAAAAAACTTGTAATATATTGTTTTTCTCATCTTAATGTAGGTAATCAACTGGGAAAGTTTCATGGTGATATCTGCTAGTGTAGTGTCTCGCCTTAATGAATACAGTAAAAACGATATAATATTGCGAAATGTTGTTATTATAAGGTTATTTCCAGTGTTGGGAAAGTTCACTTTCTGCATGAACTAGTTCAAAGTTCAGTTCACACATTTTAAAATGAACTAACCTGTGATCAGAGCTGCATTTTCACATGTCACATGATCCTTCACAAATCACTCTAATGTGATGTTTTGATGCTCAAGAAACATTTCAGATTATTATCAATGTTGTGCCGCTTCATATTTTTGTGGAAACTGTGATACTTTTTTCAGAATTCTTTAATGAACCGAAAGAATAGCATTTGAAACATGAAATAAAAAGCTGCTGTAACATTACGAAGGCATTTACTATTACTTTTGATCCATTTAAAGCATCTTTGCTAAATAAAAGTATGGCTTTAAAAAGAAGTGCTCTGAATTCATTAGAGAAATAGAGAGACTGGTTCCATCTATTTGTGCATTTCTATATTTCTTCTGCTCTTCAAACTGACAGTCTCTTAAGTTCATTTTTCAGTCCTTCCTCCATATTTCCTCATTCTTTCTAAGATGATAGGATCTTTGACATTTGTCAATTTCCTGGAAGGGTCACAAGTACAAACCAACTTACTGAATAAACATGCCCACACACACACACACCCTGGTCTGCCCTGGTTTGTATTGTACACACAGACTGACTGATAGACACACACTCAGATTTGTCCTCTTCTCTAGTTATCAGCTTCTGATCAGTGTTTGCCACTATTTTCAGATCCCTCAAAAGCTCATAATACACAAAGCATGAATGCAAGAAGTGAGAATCTGCACTGAATGTTCTTCTGTGTGTGTTTAGATTCTCTGACCCACTGGCAGGACAGTGAGTATGTCGCGGTCTTCCACCGAGGCCGTTATTTCCGCCTGTGGCTCTATCATGCTGGCCGTATGCTGTCTCCCAGAGAGATCGAGCTCCAGGTTCAGCGGATCCTTGATGACCCATCAGCCCCGGCACCCGGAGAGGCCAAACTGGCAGCCCTGACGGCAGGGGACAGGTACACACACTCCTAGCCTACAGGGTTCATTTACCACAAAACAAACACGCATGTGCTCAGATTTCTCTTTGTAAATAAATGGCAAAGGTCCAGTGAATGGGTCGATGTAGGTCAACGATTGGTTACAAATGTAATTTTTCACTTTTTAAATTATTTTTGTTTTGCAAAATATTAGTAATATTTCAATCTGTGTTATTTTAAGTATAATTGAGATTGAGAAAATTATGCATTTTTTTTTCATTTTAATTAGGGTTGTGAAACGATTAATCGCATCCAAAATAAAAGTTTGTGTTTACATAATATATGTGTGTGTACTGTGTATAATTATTTTGTATATATAAATACGCACACATGCATGTATATATTTTTAAAAAAATGTGTTATTAATATATCAAATATTTATATTTATCTATAATATTAATTTTGCATAAATATATATAAAGTATATACATGTAAATATTTCTTAAATCATTTCAAATCAATTTGGACGCAATTAATCACGATTAATTATTTCACAGCCCTAATTTTTATATAAAATATTTTAGTTTTAGTAAATTTGTTGTGTTTTTGTTATTTGTATCCATTTAAAAAATATAGTTTTAAATAAAATGTATTTCCATTTTAGTTCTTTTTGTACATCAGTTAAATGAAAATGAGAAATGTTGTTTTGGCAACATGAAATAAAAAAATTAATGTTTAATGCATTTATTTTATTAAGAATTCACTGATATAAAAATTAGTCATTGTGCAATGCATGATTATTTAAATGTAAACCATCCCTTGATTAAGTATTTTCTATGAATGCTTGAATGGTTTGAAATTTCTTTCCCAGAATCCCTTGGGCCCAGGCCAGGAAGGAGTTCTTTAGCTCCGGGGTGAATAAGAGATCTCTGGACTGCATTGAGAAAGCTGCGTTCTTCGTGACCCTGGACGACGATGAGCAAGGCATGATGGGAGATGATCCTGCGGGCAATTTGGATCGGTATGCCAAGTCTCTTCTGCATGGGAAGTGCTACGACAGGTGAGATGTTCGTCCGTCCAAAACTGCGTCAGTTACGTTACAAATACATGAAACTTAATGACAACACTATAATTATTTGAGTATATTTTCTCTTAATCTGCCAAACACAATGCATATACATTTATGTTTTTATTAAGAAAGTGTTTCGCTCTTTTTGTCTAAGGTGGTTTGATAAGTCGTTCACAGTGGTGGTGTATAAAAACGGAAAGAACGGACTCAACGCTGAACACTCCTGGGCGGACGCACCTATAATGGCTCATGTGTGGGAGGTGAGAGACAGAATGATCATGAATTGATACTGTAGGAAGATTTAAATAGTTCTTGCTTGACTAAAAATAATTTTTAATAATAGGGATGGTTAAATTCTAGTACATGCTTATTTACATCTAATGCCAGCTAAAACTCTATGAATTTTTATTAGGGCTGCATCCAAAATAAAAGTTTGTGTTCACATTATATATGTAGGTGCACTGTGCATAATTATATGTGTATATACATGTATATTTAAGAAAAAAATATGATTTATATATAAAATATTTATATATAATATAAATTATATATAAATCTATATACAGTATTTACATGAAAATATTTCTTAAATATATACAAGCATGTGTGTGTGTTTATATATATATATATATATATATATATAAATATTTATAATAATTACACACAGTGCACCCACATATATTATGTAAACACAAACTTTTATTTTGGATGCGATTAATCGTTTGGCAGCCCTAATTTTTATGTGAGAAAGTAAAAAAATTAAATTAAATCAACCATTTTAAATATTACACGTGAATTTATGTATTACCGTGTTATTATGTACATTATGAAAAATGCATATTTATTTTGAGATTCTTTATGACTGTCACTGATGAAATCATTATAATATCTGGATATAAAGTTGCTTTTTTCTCTACCATATTTTTGCTTGAACTGTGGTTTGGTCTTTGCATTTTTGCAACTTGCAAGCATTGCTATTTTTCCTCCAGTAAATGCAAATATTTGTGTTATTAACACTAATTGAGTTTTTCTTGCCTATTTTACAGTCTTTTTTAAAAGAAATTAACTCAAAAATTAAAATTCATTTTCATGTTGTTTCAAACACGAATGTGGATAAATAAAGATAGTTATTTCAACTTATCAGTGCCTAATTTTTGCTAACTTGCAAGCATTGCTATTTTTCCTCCAGTAAATGCAAATATTTTTGTAATTAACACTAATTGAGTTTTTTCTTGCCAATTTTCAGTCTTTTTTTTAAAGAAATAATTAACTCTAAAATTAAAATTCATTCTCATGTTGTTTCAAACATGAATGTGGATAAATAAAGATAGTTATAAGTGGCTAATTTTTGCTAACTTGTTATTTTTCTTCCACCAAAAGCAAGTCTATTTGTTAGTGCTATATTAGCAGTTTTTATTATTAATACCATGTCAGCTGTTTTCTAATACAATCGTCTCTTTCTCTCTCAGTATGTGATGACTACGGATTGTTTCCAGTTGGGTTATAATGAAGAAGGTCACTGTAAAGGAGACGTGGCCTCCTCCCTGCCTCAACCATCTAGACTAACCTGGGACATACCTGTACAGGTACAAACACACGGTAACACCTTCTCATGTTCCAGTCATGCGATGCACAGTGACACTGAATAATTGATCCTCCTGTGTGTGTTTTCAGTGTCAAGAGCGTGTGGATCAGTCTCTCGCTGTGGCACAGGCCCTCGCCGACGACATCGACTTTCACGTGTTCCCAATACAAGAGTTTGGCAAGGGTGCCATCAAAAAGTGTAAAATCAGTCCAGATGCCTTCATTCAGATTGCGCTTCAGTTGGCCTATTATAGGGTAAGACACAAAACCCAGCGTCGCATGCTGAAGTCGTTCTCCTCAGCAGAGCAACCACGGGTGTCAAGAATCACATTAACTATGAATATGTTCCACTAACTCTAAGTGGCACAATACGTGTGGTTTTCATTTCTTTCAACACTAGATCTTTTGTTTTATTATTAATAACATAACCTTTTTTTTTCGTGTGTGTGAAATGTTTAAAAATGTACTAGGTTTCATATTTTATCTAATGCAGTAACATTCAAATATTTTTACGTGTGACTTAGTGTATATAAAAAATATTATATTTATATATATTATACACTAATTTAGTGTGTATGCGTCACACATCGCCATTGTCTATCTCAAAGTGCCCCATTTATGCTCTTTTAAAGGCTCATACAACAGGTTTACATGCATCCAAGGTCAAAAAACACTTTTCTCACATCTCTCACTCTGATTGGTCAGATGGCCCAGTCTGTTGTGATTGGTCAATCACTTACAGCGCGTGTCGGAAACAAAGCTGTCTGAATTTCAGCTCCGGAGGCTTCCTCAGCGCTTATTTGTTGTTTTAGAGTCAAAGTAAATGTTGTTCACCAGCAGCCAATGAAGATCATAGGCGGGCATTATGCAAATTTGTTACAAACCTACTTGGGTTTATGCAGGAAGTAACAGTGGAAATTACCGAAGACTCGTTTCAGGCCTCGTTTATTGTCTTTAGGATCTCTGCAGACATTTTACATCCACAAACGGTCATATCACACACTACATGAAAGATTATATCTGAAAAAGCATAATGGGGCACTTTAAGTAACTTTACTGAACACTGAAATTGCTTTGTACATGTATGACTATGTAGGAAATGTTATGACCAGGAACAGGTTGCATTGATGCAACTACTCAGGTAGTTATCTTGACATATTACATACATTCATGACATATATTCATATTATTTTGTGTATAAACTTATTTAGTGTGTATTTCACAAATCTCTGATGTTTTAAGCAACTTTACTGTTCACTGAAATTGTTTAAGAGACATTAAACAATTGATGTAACCATCAAGGTTTAAATACTGACGTTCCTCCTTTCTCGTTCCTTCCCCAAATCCAGAATCGAGGCACGTTCTCTCTGACCTACGAAGCGTCTATGACCCGTTTGTTCCGCGAGGGCCGCACTGAGACGGTGCGTTCCTGCACCGCTGAGAGCTGCGCTTTCGTCAAAGCAGTAGAGGGTGGAGAGGTAACAAACATACACGTAAACATTGACCTGCGCACATACACACGTGCTTTATTTTGTGAAATGCTGTTCACTTTAATTTCCACCCATCTCTACGTCTGTAGAGTAAGGAGGTGTGTCGACGTCTCTTCCGTACGGCGTCTGAGAAACACCAGCATCTCTACAGGATGGCTATGACGGGAGGAGGAATAGACCGACACCTGTTCTGCCTCTACATCGTGTCCAAGTACCTGGGAGAGGAGTCACCCTTCCTCAAAGAGGTGTGTGACTCTCCTGGGAGTGTTATCTGATTAGCTAGGAAGTCGAAACTAGATTAGTTTAACTTGCAAGTGCTCTTTCATGTGTGTCCGAACTGGAACATACAGGATAAACCTGTCAAGAACATGTACAGGTCATATTTCAGACAAATTAAGCTCATTTTTTAAGACTTTTTTTTTTTTTTTTTTTCGTGATTCGTGACAGATACTCATGACTGTAGTGCAAAAAATACTTTACAATAACGTTTCATAACACGAACTAACAATTAGGACTGGGTATTGACACAAATTTCACAATTCTATTCGATTTTGATTCACAAGCTTGCAATTCGATTTTGATTCGATATCGATTATTTTGGATATCAGTTACAACAAATGGCCATTTTTCTCAAGGGAATCAAATCTCTTAACTAATGCTGTAAACTATGGGAGTCTAGTTGTAGCCTATAGGCTTCATTAGTCTAATATGAAGGTAATAATGAACTGGTTTGTAGCTATACAAAGACTTAAATTGCACTTTTATTTATTTTTATAATAAGAAGATTAAATGAAATATAAACATTTAAATGGTGGCTGTCATAAAAACTTGCCAGATTTATTCAAATATGCATTAATTATTGAAGAACATTAAGATTATAATGCATATGTAATATGGTGTATATATTTAGCAAAATGCTCCTCTCTAGAGTTATTTTTTTCTAGCTGACTAACGAGTTTATGTGGGTTTTCTGAGGTAAATATGACGATACATGACATTGATTACAAGCTGCTTAACTGACGTCTTTCCACGGTTGAAACGCTGATTGAGCGAATCAATGTGACATGATACAGATTTCGATAAGTTGTACTCTATCTTTAACACACTTTCAGATGCTCATTCATGTTTATTTGGCGCTGTGACTGGTATTATTAAGCCAGAAGAGAGATCAGCGCTGCTGCTTCTCCAGAGCGATCTCACGCCACAGCGCCAAAACGTTATTTATGTTTTTGAATTTCTAAAGAAAATGAACGTAATGTAAAAATTGAGACTTTTGTTTCATATCAATAGTAACAAAGGACAAAGATTATTGCGATTTTTTTTTTTTTTTTTTTTTTTTTTTTTTTTTTTTTTTTTTTTGGGATGCAGCCACGATACAATGATCCATTCATTCAAATGAAACAGGATGTCTAATTGATTCTTGAGATTTAAGAATCGATATCGGTTCGTAAAAATTAGAATCGATTAATATCGAGAAATCGATATTTATTACCCAGCCCTACTAACAATGATAAATACTTCTAAATAATTTATTAATCTTAGTTTTCAACATTTACTTAGACATTATTTGTATCTGTTCATATTATTTAAATACTTGAGCTAACTATGACCTATCGTTATAGTTAACAAATATGATTACATACTGTGACAAATGTATAGCTCGTGTTTGTTCATTTTAGGTAAGGCATTAATTATCTAATATGTTAACAATAACATAGCAATAGGACCTTACTGTAAAGCGTTACCAAAATGTTTTCCTAAAAGCGGGTTTGAAAAAGTTATTATTTAATTGTGAAGTGTTAATACATCATGGTAAAATGTACAGCCTTTAATTTATGATGAATTATTAAATGTTATTAAACACAGTTAAAAATAGCATGACTTACTTTTGAGGATAATGAGATTTATAAAAAAAAAATCTGTAGTAGATTTACTCTTGAAAATAATGTCACGATGCAAAAAAATAGTTCAAAATGAGTCTTTATTTGGATTTTATTTACGTTTTTGAGATTCACCCATCTAACTATGTACATTTTTAAATGCAATATTATATTATAAAATATATAGTACTTTCATTTTGTAAATATCTTATTATTATCTTATGTGATATTCAATTTTTTTGGTGTGTGTGTGTGTTTTCTTCAGGTGCTTTCAGAAACGTGGCGTCTGTCCACCAGTCAGACTCCACTCCAGCAGGTGGAGCTGTTTGATTTCGTGAACCACCCAGACTACACAACCTGCGGTGGAGGATTTGGCCCGGTCAGTAATATTCATGAATATTCACGTGACGCATTCTAATTTATTTACTCAATTGTCTGTGCATTTCTAAAAAATGTTCGTCTGTGTGCTCTTCACAGGTTGCAGATGATGGTTATGGCGTGTCTTACATCATCATCGGAGAAAACATGATCAACTTCCATATTTCCAGCAAACACTCCTGCCCTCAGACTGTTAGTACACTAATATATGCTTCTGTTACCAATTTTTGAAAATCAAAGAAAAAAATAAACAAATTTGAGAAACTAGCTGTTTCCACCCATCTATTTTTATGCACAATTTGGGATCTCGCATTAAAAAACACTGGACGGAAACGCCAAGATGCACAAATTCTAAAAAAAAATGTATAAAAAAACATGTGCTCTCAATTCAGGTGCATATATTTATTATCTGATTTGCAACTTTGGATGGAAACAAAGCCTTGCTAAAGTTGGTCGGACAAACTCAGATTAAGGGGATAGTTGACTTTAAAATTAATTTTTGGTATGTTTTAGCTTACCTCAAGGGCATCCAAGATGTAGGTGTCTTCGTTTCTGCAGTAGTTTCAATTTTTAGGTCAAACCGTTTGTGTCTGTCAGTCATATAATGGAGGTCTATGGTCACCACCTCAAAGAGCATGCACAGAGAAGTCCAGATTAAACATGATTTAATGACTCGTAAATGTAAGTACACACTGATGGCCTAAGACACGAAACGAGCGGTTTGTGTGAGAAAACGAACAGTATTTATATTGTTTTACCTCTTGTAACCACAGCCACAAAGCGCCTGCGCCCTCAGATCACTTGGACGTGGCTGTGGTTACGAGGTAAAAACGATACAAATACTGTTCGTTTTCTCACACAAACCGCTCGTTTCGTGTCTTAGGCCATCAATGTGTACTTACATTTATGAGTCATGAAATCATGTTTAATTTGGACTTCTCTGTGCATGCTCTTTGAAGTGGTGACCATAGACCTCCATTATATGACTGATAGACATGAACAGTTTGACCTAAAAATATCAAAATTAAAACTACTGCGGAAACAAAGACACCAACATCTTGGATGCCCTTGAGGTAAGCTAAAACATACCAAAAATGAATTTCAAAGTGAACTATCCCTTTAAGATGGCAAATATAACATGTATGGCTTTCTTTATGGTGCTAAACCTGATTAGTGTTTGATGACAATCTATTTTGGTTTGCAGGATTCTCACAAGTTTGGAGCGTATATCAGGAAGGCCTTGGTGGATCTCCTGGAGCTGATGTCACCGGAGAAGCCCGACCTGTCCAATGCTGAGCAGAACCACTCGAAGAACCCTCAAAGCAAGAAAGACCTGTAGAGGTAGAACAGATTGCCTATGACGGTCAAAGGAAGACATGAGGCCAGTGTGTGTTTGTGTGTGTGTGTGTTAGTTTGAATGCACGTTTGTTATAACCTACAAATATGCATTCATACATTCCATGCTTGTTGTAATCAATGCCATGAAGCCATGAATAACATAACAATGTAAAAATGGTGGAAGCTGGTTCTTCAGAAAAACGTATTAGTACAAAATAGCATTTATGACAGAGGACTGAAGGCGAAAGGTAGTGTGGTAGCGGAAAACCTTTGTGTTTTCCAGTAGGCCAGTTTTTGATATTTAGATTTAAATGAGGTCCTCACTTTTAATTGTAATAAAGAATCAAAAATGATTAGTGTACATTATCGCCAGATGATGGGAATCTAATGGTTAATGATCTGACCAGTAAGTATAATGGTTGTAGGTGTATAACAAGTAAGGATGACATATGAAGAGTAATGCATCACCTCTGTACCCTCTGATGAAGGCACTTCACTGCTCTTACAGTACAGTAAATCACATTTAATACAAACTCTCCATCTGAGCAGGTTTAAGTCTCAGAATAACGTGATCGCGGAACAAAATCCAGTGACGCTTTACTTGAATTCCAGAGCAGATGTAAATTTACAATTTCAGTGACCAATGACTCAGAATATTACATGTGACTGCAGTTTTAATATGATTGTCCAAATACATTTATATGTTCATTTCACTATTAAGTCTATTCATTTTAACAGTTTTTTTCTTTTAAATTAAAAGTAGTTTTTTATATATATACTGTATATACACAAGGTCAATTTACAACTTAATTATTCACAATGTATTGATTTGCGAATGTCTAATAGGTATTAAAAGTGATGCCAGAGGAGGAAACATTTATGCCACGGCGAATTTCTGTTAATGTCTCAGGTGTTTCGACTGCACAGTTAAACTTAAAAGGTGAATCACGGCCAGTTAACTGTAGTTAGTTCACTTCCTGCTTCCTTAAAGGGACGGTTCACCCAAAAATCCTGTCATTAATCACTCACACTTTTGTCGTTCCATCATCAAAACACAAATAAAGAGATTTTAAATGAAATTTGGGAGATTTCTGTCCCTCCATTGACAGCCACTCAACTACCATGCTTTGCTCAATTCATAGGAATTTCACATGAAATTTTTAGTTTAGTGCAAAGAGATATGATCACTTTATATGATGAACAGATTGAGATAGAGAATGCTTTCCATTTACTAAATTAAATCTGTTCATTTTATAAAGCGATTGAGTCTCTTCAGAAAATTCTGAGTAAACCTCTCAACTCATGATTTTACAATCTCTTTATGAACTTTGTGAAGCGTCGAAGAAAATGGAGGGACAGAAAGATCTCAGATATCATGAAAAAGATCTTCAATTGTGTTCTGAGGATGAATTAAAGTATTATTGGAATTAAAATGAATTTTAATTTTTGGGTGAACTATCTCTTTAAGAGACCTAGATGCTAATAATATAGTGCAAAATCTGATTTGATATTAATTTTAAAATGATGTACTTGGAATCCGTTTATATGGTTAACCATATTCTAATGAACTAATTCAATTGCAAGAATGCTTTCAAAGTTAAATGTGGTCTTGATGTATTTAATAATAAACTCTTTAGAAACATTCCGATGTAACTTTGTGTTATGAAAAAGTGATGAAAAAACAACAGAAATTGATTTAATCTGTTATTATAATACGCACTAATAGACAAATTAGAGTTAGAATGTGATGCAGGACATAGTACCGTAATCACACTACTATAACTCATATGATTAGACAATTCATACAACACCAAAAAGTGTTTTTGCAAAGGATTTGAAGGTGGTGACTGGTTTCACAGGTAAATGAATGAGATATGCTTATCAATATCAAACATTTACAATCAACATACAGGCTGTGTTTCAATATCCGTTGTTGCCGTAAGCCCTTTGCTACACTTAGCCGGACTGAGAGCAAGGGCTTGTCGACTTCCTCTGAGTTTTCAGTTTTCTCTTTGCAGTCTGTTGGCAGCTGTACTTTTTATTATCTCTGTTACACCCTCATACTCGGCAGATATAAAGTTGCCTTTTGAGTGCACGAGATCTCGTTTGCACAACTCCTGGATATTGTCATTTTGCAAATATTGATATAGTTCAAAAAGGCCTGTATCTTCTCTTCTCTCTAACACTGCTTACACTGTATATCTCACTAGAATTTAAACCTTAATGAAGGATTTTATAAATGTGGTTGTTCTATTATTATTGTCACTATTGTCACTATTGTAATAATTAACTTGAAACTGAAAACAGTAGCAATGCAAGTGTTTGTGTAGTGCTGATATTAATGTGGAGCGGCAGTGTTTTACCTCATCTGTCTTATGAATGTTGAATCATCAGCGATCGATCTCTCCTCTGTCCTCTTTGGGCTCAGACTATCTGTAAACCGCAGAGCTTTACACTTTCTCTCTTACTCTGGAAATCTGTCTTTCCTTTTTGTATGTGAATGGAAAGGAAGAGACAACATGTCACTTTTTTTAATTAAAATTGTTCAAGCACACTCGTGTTTGTGGTTTTATTGTAATGGTGTGATGTTTGCTTGCTAGATGGGGGGGGGGGGGGGGTAAAAAAAACAACAACAAAAAACATCAGAATATGTGTAGGCTATTGTGGTCGTCAAAACATTTGGTAGCCTAACTACACATACTGTGTGTAGTTGGTGCAATAATATACACACTGTGTGTAGTGGTAGTATGGTGCAATAATCGGTATAGGCTACTGTTTTTTTTATTGCTTTATACAAATTTAACAATTCTGGTGGATTTATTCTCGATCTTAATTCAATTTGGATACATATTATAGGCTACAGTAGGCTAGATGTTAATTTTTCTTAAGAAAAAAAATCGCACCTAATACTGTAAACAGACTATAGAAAGCCCTGTCAGCTGTATATACTGCTGTTATAGATATACTGTAAGTAAAAATTATAATAAAGATGTAATATAGTGCACATTTAAACAAAATACTCATTTATACTAATACTAAATATACTATGAAATACAATTTTTTTTTTTTTTCATTGAACTTTCGTGCAATTGTCATTATAGGCTTTCCAGCTCTGCCATGCATGCAAAACCTGAAAAACTGGTTTTAGAAAAGTATTACGATTCAGTACAAGTTACAATCGTTGCTCCAACAGCTGGTCTAAGATCATTCTGGGTGATAGATAGGACAATAAAAGCCAAGGTGAGCTATACGGTCTAAAATAAATACTTTTCCCTTGTTTTGCCTTCTTTAGTTCTTCCAGAAGTCTCCTATTTCTTTGAGTTTTAATGCTGGGTGACGGTGACTCTTCCAGGCTTATCTAATTCCACATCTTTCTTAACACTTACTTGGGCTATATTTGCTATATTGAAATTGAATATTCGGTGCAGCCTAATAAATGTATCAAATCCATAAGGATTCATTGAGGAGTTTTAAGTAATCTAGCATTTATGAGGAACGAGGTTATTTCTGAAAAGTCACTGTCTGAAAGTGAAAGTAAAACAAGATAAAAACCTTGAAATACGTAGGCTAGGCTATAGAATATTTTCGTCTCTTTTTCTGATCAGTTCAAAAGGCAACGACGACGATGATTATATATGGATTTTGTTTTAACACTACTAACACGATTATTAGGACAAGTGGGCGTTTTATCGCTTCATTAGTAGGTTGCTGTTACTAGATCAGATTGTTTGCCTGTTGTCTTTTCTCTCAGTAGGGGGCAGTAATAACCCTCAGGCGCTAGCGACGACTTATAATGACGTTTAACGGAGGCGTAGTGGTGTCCCATTTCTTAGGGGAATATTTTCACCCCTACGCATTGCCACTCTGTTTCAAGGGTCAAGGGGAAGGCGAAGGGGTAGGGCTAGGGGAAAGAGAAGGGGTAAGGGGTAGAATTGGGATTGGCCCTTAACCTACACTGTAGCATAGGACATTTTACGCTAGAAAAGGTTCAATAATGACAAGAAAGAACACTTTTGTCACAAGGTTCAAGGTTCTTTAAAGGCTATTATTCATTCATATATTACATTATTCTGCAACATTTTGTAGTTGTTATCAAATTATTGTTTATTAAACTGTTGTAGTAACTTAATATCACATTTTAATCATGCAGATTTCTGGAGGATAAAAACTGAAATTGCACTGTTCGTGTGATATTGATTAATTAAATTTTTTAACCACCTTATCTTGAATTTTGTGATCATTTACATGCATTGCATTTTAGGGGTTCCAAATACGTAGCGCTTTAGAACCTTTTAAGGTTCTATATAAACCTTTTCTTCTAAGAGTGTACATTTGGGTTTATGAATTTGTACGAAAGATGTTACTTTATTATAAATAAATGAATTAGCCTATTATGTTTAAATAATCATCAGATGTTGTAATTTAATGCTTTGTTATTCCTCAGCATATACATTTGTACTTTTTTGTGGTTGAGAAGATTCCCCCTTCCATTTGCTATAGCGCTTTGAGTGCTGAGAAAAGTGTCATGTAGCGTATTATTATTTTTTAATTCTGCTTGTGTTTAGTCTTGCTGTTTATAACATTTATTTTTTACACTCTTATAGACATTAAATGTAAATTAGAGAAATCAACAGAAAGGCTGTTGGCTGATTATCAGAAAGGCTGATTATCTGGTGAAATTATGTTTTTAAACTAAGAAGGGGACAGCAACCTTTTCAAATGTATTACTGTTTGATATTGCACGCTAATCTATCATTTCAAATACAAGAATGTAAATTTATGATGAATATTTTTAGATGCCACCATGACCAGTTGTTTTGTTTACATTTATTATGCTAAACTTTTTATTTGTGTTTTTTTTTTTAAACTTTCTCTTGTTTATTTTGAACTTCATGTTTGGATTAATTATTTTTTAAATCGTTCTCACAGAACAATGAGACAACTTTAAAAAGGAAATCTTTAAATATGCAAAGAGTGAATAAATAAGCATTGTTTCCTTTTCATTAACTCACCTGCTTTCTGGAAATTAAATGAACAAATTTTCAAGATTAATATAGAATATATAGTAGAAGAAAATCTTCCATTGAATGACTGATGTAACGTAGGCTAACAAAGTTTACTTTTATTTGTTTTGTCTCACATTCAATTTTTTTCCACTCATGTTTTATCCATTCTGACCAGTTTAGTTCATTGCTATTGAATTTACCACACACTTCAGGGTAGATTAACATAAACAAAGATGTGAAGAGATTACATTACTTGTAATTGTTTTCTAGTCTTACAGTGGATTTTCAGCCTCAGAGTTCCAGAAATATTAAAAATGGCTGAAGGTGGAGAAGTGGAGAAAGGCAAGTAAAAATTATCTTGCATTACAAAAATGACTGGATTGATATTTAATAGTTGTCTCTTGCCAATTGAATTTTCTGAACCTGGATACCCTTCAGGTTTACTTTATCTAGTAAAGACATATCACATTATATCACTTTTCCAAAATTTGCTTTAACAGAAATGTTAATTTAAAAATGGTGTTGTGTGCTTTTTGACACCAAGTTCCATTAAACTGTTTAAGTTTGATAAATTGAAAAAGAAAATGGTTGTTTAAATACTCTGCAGTTTTATGGCTTTGATGGATACCATTTATTTCTCTATCTGTCCAGCTGAAGACTTTAGTTTTGCAGTTTCTGTGTCTGCTGAACCTGGAGAAGATGTCATCTTACCTGTTCATCTCTCACTTGACACCAGTGCTGTGTCCATGAACTTCTGCTGGTATAGAGAGTCACAGCTCATTTATCAGTATAAGGACGGGCTGGAGAGTCCAAGTAGTGACTATGAGAACCGAGCGAGTCTGTCTGTCCAGGAGCTGGAGAGAGAAAATCTTTCTCTGTCTTTGAGAAATGTCCAGGAGTCAGATTCAGGAGACTATACATTGCAAGTACATCAGCATGGATGTCTGAAGACAGTAATAGTTCACCTACAAGTGAGAGGTAAAATAATAAAGCTGCCTTGCAGCTTCTCTTGCTTATTTCTGTAGTCCACTGACTGATGAGTTGCCTCATTGCTTGATCATATATTTTGATTTAACGGGTTATAAATATTTATAATTGAGTGTTGTGTATTGCAACATACAGTACTGGTGCTACTTTGTCTTCATGTCACTCTCTTTTCATACCAATTTGGCATATTAAACATATTTTGCATTTAGTATATTTTCTTCTTTTTTTCTTTGTTTTCAAATATGGCAGTATTTAAGTAATGGGTTCAGACTGATATTAGGTTCATTTTAGATCTTCAAAAAAGAATGTAGTCATCTAACTGATGCTGAGACAAATGCAGGATGAGATTGAGGACTTTTTACAACAAACAAACTGCAAACAGTGATTGTCGGGGTCCATGCACTTACAATTCATAAAGACGATCATATTATTTATGTATTAAAATACAATAGACAAATAATATTGTCTGTTTATTTTAATTGGACCGCAATACATTCAGTCATGTCTGGTAACTTTACTAATATGTTTTTAGTATCATTAGACTTGTAAAAAGGGATGACAGATTTCTTTGCAAACTGATTAGACTTGGATTATATAAGACATTCAATTTCATGAATCTATAATGAATTTGATGCATTCAATCTGTAGAACCATTTACACAGATTTTAACCTATTATGTATTTTTGGGAGCTGCAGTTAATCAACCAAGAAGAAAATGGCATAAAAATACTATATAATGTCTTGATGGAAATCTAAAAATTCTGAAAAGTTTGAATATGGGTTAAGATTAGAGAAGAGAAATTATCATTAGTATAAAAACAAGTCAACATAATGTTAGGTCTGAGTCAAGCCCCCATCATTATGGCAAAACAAATATTTGTTTGTATGAGGTTAAATTTCATCTGAAAGTGCATGAGGACGATCAGAGAATCACTGCCATATCTGACTTTAAATGTTATTGCAATGAAATTATAATTATTTTTCTATGATTAGAATAATTGTTTTAAATTCTTTAGGGTTTTTTTGTGATTTAAAAAGTTAAATTACAAAATTCTCTACTTTTGATTTCCTGCAGGGAAAAGGCAGTTGCAGAGAGAGATAGAACAGAGAGAGGAGAAATGTAAACTGGAGAGACAGATAATGAAACTGGAACTGGAGAAACAGATAAAGGAACTGGAAATGGAGAAACAGATAATGAAACTGGAACTGGAGAAACAGATAAAGGAACTGGAAATGGAGAAACAGATAAAAGAACTGCAACTGGAGAAACAGATAAGGGAACTGGAAATGAAGAAACAGATAAAAGAACTGCAACTAGAGAAACAGATAAGGGAACTGGAACAGGAAAAACAGATAAAGAAACTGGAAGAGGAGAAACAGATTAAGGAACTGGAAGAGGAGAAACAGACAACGGAACTGAAAATGGTGAAACAGATAATGAAACTGGAAATGGAAAAACAGATAAAGGAACTGGAAATGGAGAAACAGATAAAAGAACTGCAACTGGAGAAACAGATAAGGGAACTGGAAATGGAGAAACAGATAAAAGAACTGCAACTGGAGAAACAGATAAGGGAACTAGAACAGGAGAAATGGATAAAGGAACAGGAAGATGAGAAATGGATAAAAAATCTGGAAATGGAGAAACAGATGAAGGGACTGGGGAGATTGAATGAGAATCTGGAGAGACAAACAAATGAACTTTCCTCACCCACTCATGCATTACATGGTAATGATAGATCAGAAAAAAAGTTTTTTTTTTCTTTTTCAAAGATTCCCAAATTATTATAATTCAGTGCTGTAAGGCCTGCCCAATTGGTCCAACATCAGTTTCCGATAAGCGGTTGAAGGTTTATTATATATAGCAAATTAGCTCTAAAGAAATATTAATAATCAATCATAACTTGATTAGGAATATTTGGATCAGTTAATATAATTAACTTAATGTAGAATTAGTCAAATTAATATTACAATCAATCAAACTTTTTTCCTTCTATAGTGTAGGAAATTTAGAAGTGAAGACCAGGAGACTCGGGTGTATCTTTTAAGCAGGGTTCTCTATCCCTGGGTTAAGGATTCATTGAGGGTATCAGGGTTATCTGTTGCATCGCTGTAGTATTCTCAAGTCCGCTTCGTCCAAAAATCTTACCCAAGTCTGCCTAAGCCAAAATACAGTGTGTTCATTTACCTTGCAGGGGAGAGGAGTGACATGGTGGAGACACTCTGAAACAAAGCATGTAAATGAAGTACAGGATTCAGCTTGTTACCGGAAATTCCCCAGCCCTGATCTCATCAGCATAACAGTGTCACATATAGATGGTAATACAATCAGCCTCATTGTATCACCCATACCTTCACATTACCATAGAGCTTAATGGCCAAGCAGTGCATAAAAACTAAAGATTATAGTCTCAGTGCTCTGGGGTCTCATTTATAAAACTGTGCGGAGGATCCTTACTAAAAGTGTACGTGCGCCCGAAAGCCAAAAATGGCGTACACCAAAAAATATTTAGATTTATAAAACCGTGCGTACGCCAGAACCTGCGCAGAAATCCCTTTATAAATCCCAGTCAGTGGAAGAATGCGCGCACATGCGTCTCCTCCCCGAAATAACCATATATGGAGATTACAACGCCTAGTTTAAATATGCATATCCTCATCTGCATATCATTTGCTTTTGATTATTCATCCACGTGATGATACCATGTTAAAGTCGTACATGACGTTAGGAAAATATGAAATACAGATGTGCCGTGCCACAATAAATTGTTTTTTTTCTCAGACAATCTGCTATTATCATGATTCGCAATTATCTCTAGTTAAAACATTAAAACACAGCATGCCAGAGGGAAAGTGTTCAAAAGCATTGCATCCACAACAAATATATATTTCTTTTTATTGAATTTTTTTTTTGTACCTTCTTAGTAATGATTTCATGTAGTTTAAGTGTTCAACTCCATTAATGAGAATGGCATATTTAGTCTAAATGTTTATATCAGAAGTAAAACATAGTTTAAATCATTATTTCATTTATTTAAACTGTTATTGAGAACGTGCACTGCATTAGCCTACTCATGAAGATTTAAGGTTCATCTGCCGTTAGATTATGTGCGTCAGTTTCACTAAACGGCCCAACGCGCATGCTGGCGCGGACACGAAGGGATGGATATTGGCTTCAAGTGATTGGCTTGGTGAGTGAAATTTTATTCGTAGGCTATTATCTTTCTGTATCCTATAGACTATAATTTTCTTTAGATTCTTTAGATAATTTTCTTCGGTCTAAAAGTGACCAAAAAGACATTTAACTACAGCTCACCATCAGTGTCTCCAATTCCCTTTGTCTCCAGAATGTGCGTATGCACGGCTCAAAGTTTGCTTAATGGTGCGCACATTCTCCAATCAAGTTAGTTTTTTATAGATCACAAACTTTGCGTGGAAACTGGCGTACGTACGTTTCCAGCCCCGTTTTGTGCGTACGCACGCTTTATAAATGAGACCCCAGGTCTTGATCACGATCGAATAGCTATCCGATCACAGAAAACACATGAAGTGACCAGGTGTAAACAGCCCCTTTGAATCCATCGTCTACTTTTGTGGAAAGTTGACTAAAGTTGTGTCGCTCGAGTTGTCTTCTCTGATACGGAGAACGGCAGCGAATAGCTACACGAACCTGACAGACATAGGTGAGCGTGAACGCGCATGACGTCACGCCCAGTCTCAGATTCAAGCCTGAATCCCTCTTATTTATTTTACTGTACAGGATTATAGAGGTGATCGCAGTGGTCAGAGAAGGGCTCATTCAGCCCATCAGGCGATTGTTTAAGCATGTATGGGTTAGAAAACGGCTATTTTTTAACATAAAATGTTGCGCAATGCACCTTTAATTCTAAGAAATTATCATTTCCGGGGATGGAAAATGTCTTTCTTACTATATAGTACTATAAGAGCCTTTAGTCAAATTTTAAATCGTAAAATAAACTGTCAAATTCTGTTTAGTGGCCAAAAACTGCTGAGTTTGTGATCGTGAGACATACACATGAACGGCCGGTGCGAGGACCCTGTGCGTCTTTTTCACATGAGTGAACAAGTACAATACGAGTAAAGAGTTACATAGAATAATCAAATTCATAGCTAAATTACTTTGCCACACTGAAAAGTTGGTAACGCACAGTAAACCTTCAGGAACTGTCATTGGACTGATTGGGTAGGCCTTACAATGCAATAAATACAAAAATAAACTGGGAAGGTCTAGGTCTAACTCTGGCTCTTGAACTCTACTTTTGAGCAGAGTCTTTCTCCAACCGTAAATCAAACAAGCTGACCAAGGTATTCAAAATAACCAGAATGTATTAGGCAGGATTTTGATCAAGGTTGGAGTTAAACTTGAGAGTCAGATTTGAAAACCCCAAGTTTAGAGATCTCTTCTGAATAATTTAGTTTACTTCTGTTCAATTTTAGGTGGTGTGCCTAGACGAAGGAATAGTCTTCATGGAATTCCCCCATACAGTAAGATAGCAGTTGACATGCTCATATGATTCTTGATTGTTTTACTGCAACAGTAATAAAATGGGAATTATGTACATGTATGCAAATTTGCAAGAGAATGCTAAATAAAATTTCTTAATGTCTTGTGATTGTCTTCAGTGAGTGATGATGGCACACCAGAGACACCTGAAACAGAAGAGGACAGAGAGACCATAGACACAGGTGTGTGTTGAGGATGCATGCAGTTGCTGTTATATAGTTATAATATAAATAAATATTCTACAATTACAGAAAATATTGAAATCTGTTTTAGTTTAGTGGTCCAGAATTTAAGTAGTAACTATACCAGGAAATAAACCTTGGTGTATCTGTTTGTTTGAAGTGAAGAGGTGACTTGTTAGTTATTACAGTTTATATTAACCATGTTACAGTTGCATTTGGTTTTTGGATTTAGTTCAAATTAAGTTATGTATGTCCTTTTTCTTTGTTTGTGTGTCAATATTGCAGTGGAAAGAGTGATCAAAAGTGGTGATCAAAACATATGAACAAGAGGAGGGAATACTGCAACTGAGCAAGAGACCCTGGTACGTTACCACAGTTTAACATAATAATCAGTGATTTCACCTGTAAGACCTACTGAAATATCCTTCACAGATATACAGTCACATGTACAAGAAAAATACACAAGATCACAGTCAGTCTCATCACTACCAGGAGAAACAACACAAACACCATAGAGATCTAGAAGACTTTTCCACAGACTATGCTGACGTGTTTTCAAGGTCATCAGCATCCTAAATCCTGCAGTTTAAAGGTGACCTCTGACTAGAGATCGAGTTATTTTAATTCAAGGGTATACAGATCTATGAGGACTATACAAAGTATCTTAGCTAGAATAAGCATGCATGTGACCATCTAAGGTTTAAGTCAAACTCTGTTTAGTGACTAAAAACTGCTATATTATAGTTATATATAGTGTACATTTATAACACTGTGCTATTGAAGTAGGTAGGATAGATGGGCTTGTAAAGAGCTTGCTGTACAGGATTTAGATTCTGTTTCACACCAATCAGTGGTGCCTGATGAGTGCATCCAGAGCTGCCCAATAATAATATAAGAAATTAGGGAGAGCTAAACCTCCATCAGTCCTATTCAGTCCTCCATCAGTCGAATCCTAGGGGTTTTCCCATCCCATATAAAATTGGAAATAATTTGTCTAATCTATTGAAAAATTCCTTGGATAAGAAGATGGGAATGCATTGAAATAAATATAAGAATCTCGGAGGAACTGTCTTTTTAACATTGTTCACCTTACCAGCAAGGGCAGAGATGCCCAAACTAGGGCCCGCGGGCCAAAGTTGGCCCGTGGTATCCTTTGATTTGGCCCGCCATACCGTCCGGGGAGAGGGGATTTCTTTAAAATGCAAAACTTAACAAATAAAACTGCATTAGTTAATCAGATTGAAGTTGTTTTATATTTATTTTAAATATTATAAAACAAATAAACCCATAGCAACTTTAATGTAATACCGTTTGATTTATGATGCTAAAATTTATTTTTGGCCCACGGCCCACAATCAAGTTTGATTTTTGGCCCTTCGTAGGAAAAAGTTTGGGCACCCCTGGGTTAGATGAAGAATCCTCCATTTTTGGGTTTCCATTGGGTTTTCTTTTTTTTTTTTTTTTTCTCCATTTTTGAATTCCTCCATCAAAAGCGGAATAAAATAATTTTTTTAAGTTATGTGTAATACTGATACCCAGATATTTAAACACAGATCTTGCCAAGCAAAAGGGAAACGCAGAGTCAGGCAGATGCCTGGCAAGTGTGTAAACAGGCATGCATTCACTTTTAGAGATATTCAATTTATAGCCTGAGAAAGTTCCAAAATTGTGCAAGATTTTGATCATATCTTTTATACATGATAAATGATCTGAGATGTAAAGAAGCAAGTCATCACCGTATAATGAGAGCATATGTTCAATACCCAACCTGATTATACCAATTGTAAACAAAATGGGGCTTACTGGGCTTCCCTGCCGAGTGCCCCTTGATAAAGAAGCTTTTTTTCGCCATTTATTAACCACTGAAGCAACCAGGGAGGTGTACAGAAGACGGGTCCACTCTATAAATCTGAGGCCAAATCCGAACCTATCCATAGCAAAAAAAAAAAAAAAAAGATAGTCCCATTCCAACTAATCATCCCTTTTCGACATCTAGCGAAACTACAATTTCAGGGGTGTCCTGGGATGGGGGGGTGTAAAGAATATCCAAAATGCGACAAATGTTCAAGAAAATATGCCGATCTTTTATAAAACCAGTCTGATTAGATGAAATATTGACTAAGGGAGACTCCAATCTCATAGCCAGTAATTTGGCTAAAATGTTGACATCTGCATTTAACAAAGAAATTGGTTCTACATTGTGTTGGATCTTTCTCAGGCTTCAATAAAAGTGTAATCAGGGCTTCGGTAAGGGACTTTGGTAAAGTTCCTCTAGACAAAGAATGTTTAAACATATTGAGCAAGAGTGGAGATAATTTAGTAGAAAACTTCTTATAGAATTCGATTGGAAAGCATCAAATTACAAGAACTAGTTACCGCTGCTATCAGCGTTTTTAATACAGCAGCAGTGACGGTAAAGCTCTCTTCTGACGCTGTTATCAATCTCTATATTTTTTCCTCTCTTTGAAAGTTGTGAAAAAGTTGAGTTTTTCTTTTGCTAATTGATAAAATGGCAACACAAAAAATAGATTTATTTGTAGTCTGTCATTCACCGCTTTAGAAGTATGACGACTTCCGCTACTGAGTGACATGTAAAAAAGGGTCTATAGAGTTGAGGAAGTACAGCAGGAAAAAGAAAGGTCATTTAACATCAATTAGGAGTTTTACTACTTATTACTCCTGATTTATTGAGGCTAAATACAGTATATGTTACATTAAAAATCTTATAATCTTTGTTTAGTTAACTAACCATTTTTTATCAGTTTTAGATAGATATGTTGGACTGGACAGATTTGGAATCTTTCTCAATTTTTGGGACGTTTGGTAATGTTTCTGATTTATGTTTTCTGATTGACTAAAAAGATAGAAGGCCTACTCTCATGACACCTGTTTTAATTTAGATATTTTATTCTTCCATAACATTTAATTTTATAATGTTGTAAGAACTTTGGATAAAAGTGTCTGCTAAATGACTAAATGTAAATGTAGAACTTCTAATTCAATTAAATTGTTTTTTTTTAAAGTACTATTTTTTTCACAAGGTCAAATTAAGTTAAAGTAACTTTATACCCATGTACATAGAGTATTTTGCAAGTCTGTTATCTTTTTTCTGTACTGCTACTCTGTTCATCTTAAGTTTAAACTTACTGATTTTTTATTTATTTATTGTTGTTGTTCTATTATTATTGTCACTATTGTAATAATTAACTTGAAACTGAAAACAGTAGCAATGCAAGTGTTTGTGTAGTGCTGATATTAATGTGGAGCGGCAGTGTTTTACCTCATCTGTCTTATGAATGTTGAATCATCAGCGATCGATCTCTCCTCTGTCCTCTTTGGGCTCAGACTATCTATAAAACCCCAGAGCTTTACACTTTCTCTCTTACTCTGGAAATCTGTCTTTCCTTTTTGTATGTGAATGGAAAGAAAGAGACAACATGTCACTTTTTTTAATTAAAATTGTTCAAGCACACTCGTGTTTGTGGTTTTATTATAATGGCGTGATGTTTGTGTTTTGCTTGATCAACATGAAGACCGAACGTTCTCTCAGTGTTAGGCCAATATATAAAATATGAACAATAATCGGTTATCAATATCGGCGCATCCCTATCATTTTTGAAAAAACCCGATAACAAAAAAAAGTCTCACCATTAAAAGCCATGTCCCAAGCACAAAACTATGTATAATGTTTCATTATAATTTTATGTAGCCTATATGACAGACTTGCGCAGCACATAACTGTATTTTCATTTTTTTGAAATGATTTTCAATATTTCAAGCAATTCAAAATCGGCTATTTATCGGCTTTAATATATTGGCCAATAATAATAGTTAAATTGAACATATATCAGCCTATACCGATATGGTGTTTTGTTTGTAGTTGTTTTTTCCTGTATTACTTTAGTTCTCTTAGTTTTATTACTTCAGAGTTCCTGTTTTTTGTTAAGTTTGTTATCTTACCTTAAGAAATGTATCCATTTATTAACACTTTACAATAAGGTTCATTAGTTAACAACTTTAGTTAACATGTACAATATGTGAACAATACTTCTTCAGCATTTATTAATCTTAGTTAATATTAATTCCAACATTTACTAATACGTTATTAAAATCAAAGGTTGTATTAGTTAACATTAGTTAATGGCCTGTGAACTAACATGAACGCACAATGAACAGCTCTATTTGTATTAACTAACATTAACAAAGATTAATAAACACTGTAACTAATGCATTGCTCATCGTTAGTTCATGTTAGTTAATGCATTTACTAATGTTAACTAATGAACCTTATTGTAAAGTGTTACCCATTTATTTAAGTCATTAATGCTTTTATTCAATTGATTTGTTTCTTGAATCACGCGTCCACACTTGTTTGTGCATTTTCTTGGTCGTTTATTCGTTTAAAGCTAATTTAGGCAACACTTCATGATAACATTCATGCATGTATATAATGCTTAAAATCATTAGTCCATCTAAATTCAAGCAGCTAGAAACTATATAATTATATATATTCATATTTAAATGTTTGTTAAAGTTATGAAGTCTTGCTTAATCAGATCTCCCATTAAGACAAATTTCAGTTTCTAGTCTGAAATTGCCTCTGCGTACGGCTGATGTAGTGCAGTGTATATTTGTAAAGTGTGTATCTGAAACTGAAAATGTCCTTCAGTCATTTTTCCGCGTGAAAACTGCATATGTGTCGCTGCTCTGGTCGTGTGTTGCAGTGAATCCTGATTCTTCAGCGATCTCCTTCACTCTGGCAGCAAAACCTGACACTTGCTCCTTTGAAAGATCCAACAGGAAGCTGAACAAGAAAAACACAGATCATGAGCATTCATGGGTTTTGATTTCAAGTTATGCACCAAAATGTTAGCATGAGCATGAATGTAAGTATGATGTGTGTGTGAGATGGACCCACTTTGCTAACTCTATTAGCAGAGCAGCATCAGGCGCTGCGATCTCTCTCAGAGAAGAATCGAGCTGATGAACCATACTGGGAAAACAGAGATGGTGTTATCATCAGACAGTTACACACAAACTGTGAGCTGCATATGAACAGGCTTCACCTGGCTGAACAGAAGATGCTGTTGAACAACTTCCTGTATTTGTTTTTGAGGGGAAGTTTGTTGAGAGAGTCTGGAGACAGAAATGACACTTTCACACCGCTCACGTTCAGCAAATCTGCAAAAACACAAGAACCCAAAGTAAATGTGTGGAAAACTCTCAAAACTATTAAAAGGAGCTCTGTTTGATTTGTTTACAGGACTTCACTGGCAATGTGAAGTGCGTTGTTTTGACAAAATAGGACATTACCAAGTGCTTGTGTCGGTTCTGAATGAGTTTGTGAGGAAGGTGGATCGTTCTGTATGATCTCTTCTGTTATGAGACTGTCTGTGGATTGACCGCAGGAACTTGGAGGATTTGGCACATCTTCATTCAGTAAAGAGCTCCCTCTAGTGGCAAGACATTCAAACAACGCCAAAACGTTGACTTCTGAAATATCCTGAGCCGTCTGAGAGAGAAAGATGGCCAGAGAAAGGTAAGTCATGTATCATTGCAGTATAAATGACAAGCTATAAAGATAAGTCATACATGTGGTCTTGGACGGTAAAAGAAGTAATGCAATACAATATAATGACATGGTTTTTGTTTGTAACTTAATATTAGGGGGTATTAAACAGTTCCTGTCACCTTTACATGTTGATTGTTGTGTTTCTTCAACAGGTCTTTGTTCTCGGTCTCTATGCCGAACGACAGATATGGACTGGAGACGATGTCCCCCCAATATCCTCTGACAGCGACCTGATCTCCTCTCTGGTACAAACACACACACATCGTTGCATGACAGTGTATCATGGCTCACAACTATTATTGTAGACAGTCAATCTACTTACATGATTGAACACTCGTGTGGAAAGCAGACTCTGATTGGCTGTTTGGTAAAGCCCCTCCCTCATTTCAAAGGCCACGCCACTTTCCCGCCATTTCACATACTGATGTTTGCTAATGACGCCACACTAAGAGACAAATCACAAGATTTTGTAGAACAGTAGTGAGGAAGGCTTAATATCCTTAACTAAAACCATAAAAAAACTATTTTGTAACTTCAAATAAATTAAATAAAATCTTTATTTAAACTAGGGCTATCAAATTTGTGTTTACATAATATATGTGGGTGTGCTGTGTATAATTATTTTCTATATAGAAATACACACACATGCTTGTATATATTTAAGAAATATTTTCACGTATATACTGTGGATAGATTTATATATAATTTATATTATATATAAATATAAATATTTAATATATATAAATAATATTTTTTTTTCTTAAATATACATGCATGTGTGTATTTATATATATATATATATATATATATATATATACAAAATAATTATACACAGTGCACCCACATATATTATGTAAACACAAACTTTTATTTTGGATGCAATTAATCGTTTGACAGCAATAATTTAAACATTTTATTTCAAGCTAGTTGCCAAAGCAACATTTTCATTAGTTTCACTTGCAGTACTAAAATAACTGAAATAGAAATATAAATTAATAAAAAGTATAAACTCACAAACAAAACCTAAAAAATTCATTTCTTTATACATGGAAACATGGAAATAGTGTCTTCTGTGAATCTATATGTAATTGTAATTCGGAAATTTCCTAAACAATCACATTTGTAATGGGCTGAAATTATTAAAAAATTTGGCAAATAACTGTGTAACATACAGTAAATTGAGTCTTATTGGACAGCTCTGATTGGCCTTCCGGAGTGCAGGTATAATAATATATAATTATGTCATGTTATTTGGTACGTACGCCTCTCTGGTGCAGTTTCATGCTGAGATCCCAGTCGAAACACCCCTGACGTGAGTCGTAGCGAGTCCCCAGGTGCTGCCGAACACGGGCGTCCCAGACCTTACGCACACTCGCTGGCACTGACGGTGGCCGTTCCCACAGTTTAAAGATCCGGACCAACTCATCTCTCTCCTTAAACTGATGATGAAACAGCAGAGGAGTGGATATCACTGAGATGAGTTTGATTCTGACATGCAGTATATAAACACATCAATGTCTGCTGGACCTTCAGAAGGCTCGTATCAAGGCAAGGATGGGCGTGCGAGTTAGAGGACAGAGTGTTTGTGATGGAGAGAGAGAGTTGAGCCGCGGCGTGTTTTAAAGTCTCTTCCGTCTCTTTGCGAATCTCGGAATTCCCAAACACCTCCAGAAACACTTCAGTCTTTTCTAAAAATAAAAAACATGAATGCAATAATATGTGACATTTACAGTGTACAAAAACTAAAAACAATGTATAGAAAAAAACAGAAGTACATTTTGTATTTTCTGGGGATTTCTACACCTTTCCCTAACTTGAAACAGAAATTGTCTAAATGTAATATAAAATATAAGTTTATTACATCTCATTTGTATTATATATTTATTATATTCTTTAAAACATTTTTAATATTTTAAAATGTGAGAATACATATATGCTGGGATTTATTTAAAAGAGCAGAAGCTTTGTCATAATATATGAAGGTATACGTACTGTGTAGACTCATGTTCTCAGGGGTCTGAAGTGATAAATATAGTAGTAATAATTGTCTGGCAACAACCTCCATACTGTTCTCAATCACCCAAACCTGCAACATGCCACACATCTAATTATTAACACATTAACATGCACAAAACAGTTGATGTATGTTGTGGTAATAGTAATACTATGTCATAAAGGCTATTATTATGCGGTATACATTAACAGAATCTGAGGTCAGTGATGAATCACACACATGTAGTGTATCAGAGTGTGTCAGTCCAGTGATGGTCTTCAGGATGTGTCTGGGATCTCCACTGCCCACCAGCAGAACATTCAGCTCTCCATCTGACTTCACCATGCTCTCTGTTCTCAATACATCAAACAAATGTGTGTGAGCATTGATCCATATTTACTGTGTTTTGTCATATACTGTGATGGTTTATGGTTCACCTGAGTTCAGGAGGTCTCGTGCTGGTCCGAATCCCCACCAGGTCACACACCCCGCGCCCTCGACAGTCCGGCCGGCACTCATTCTTCACGAACACTACGACATTAGAAAACAGGATAATGCCTGAATATCCTCCTGGAATCTCGTTTTTAGCGGATTTTAGTTATATGTATAGAAAAGTGTAAATAATCCTCTGTGAAACTCACCTCTCGCTGCTCTTGCCGAGTAACTTACTAGCAAGCTAATGCTTGGACCGCGGTTGCTTAGCAACAGGAACCGCGCGCCGTCTAGAGTAGTAGGGGTAGGAGGGCCTGTTTTACAGTCTATGAGTAGGACACAAACACTGGTTTTGATTCAAGAACTCAAAAATGGTACCGTTTCAGATTCATATCTCAGAGTTAACTAACTTAATGCAATACCTGCACCAACTAGTATCTCGGTGACGAGCGAGACAACGTCGAATGCACTGGATTCCTGTTGAAAGTTGGACATAAATTATGGTGAGATTCAGGAAAACTGAATAAAATATAAATCTAGATTATATACAATTTACAATGTCTTCTTCTTATTCTATTATTTATCTATAACACACTCTAAACGGGTGGGCATATACTTTAAACTATCCATATTATTATTTTACGTCAAAGAGCGTAAGAAATGTCACCTGATCAGCTGACGTGATTAACGTAGACTATTTCCAACTAAAAAATCTCACCTGACTAGTATGCAGGCTGGGAAAACGATTGTTGCTGTTTACAGAATTGCATTTATTTATTTATTTTTAATTAGCTATATCTACATATAATAACCACACAGACAATAAAATGTTTAAAATACCTTTTTTGTTTTGATAAAAAGTTATACATAACTCTGGAGCTCGTTCAGAAATATAATGTGTATATTTATTTATTATATTTAACGTCACTCTATCATTAAAGCTAGCAAACGGCAGCGTTTATGTATGTATGTGGGTCTTATTATTATTTACAAAATACATATATACGTATTTCGTGTATCTGTTGTCGTTTTTTTTGTTTTTATCATATCTAAAGCAGAGTTTGCCTGTTGTCTGTTCTGTCAGTAGGGGGCAGTAACATGCCAAATATAGTTTCAGGCATTTGTACGATTTGTACAAGTTAGGCTAACTTTTATTTATTTATTTCTAAAATTACAGTAAATATAATAATGATTTATGTATAAGAATTATGGTAGTAATCATATTATGTTAAATTTAAAATAATTAAATGGTGGTTTACATGGGATTTTCCATCGGTGTCTCAGGTGTGCAGGAATATTAAAAACAGCTGAAACTAAGCAAGGCAAGTCAAAACATATCTATAACTCTAATGCTTCGGCTGAGTCTCACTGTACGTAAAACTCTATTAGGCTATGACATGTCTGACAGGATTTTTTTTTTTCTTTATTAATTATTCTTCTCTCTCTCTTCACAGTTGTCTCTTGTTTGCCTCGTGGTGGTGGAATAAGGAGGATCTGCTCTGCCATTATATGGATGGACAGATGATAGAGAGCTATGAGGGTCGAGCGAGTCTTACACTGCAGGATCTACACAATGGAAATGTGTCTTTGACTCTCGAGATGTCAGGAGATTAATGTCATTAACAAGATAGGCTACTATTTACAACATTACAACTATTTACAACAAGATACAACATTACAAGATACTATTTTTAACAGTATCAGCTGTAAGTATTCAAATAAACATGTTTGAAAAATATTCAACATACTGTAGATCAATTTGAAATTGTTCCTTTTACCTCAACATTTGAGCTGAGAAAATGTATTTATAGTTTTCTGGACATTGGTTCAAAGCAGCTTTACAGAACAATATTGCAGTAATAATGTCTTAATGTTACTATTATTCATGTGGTTCACAATATTTCTCTGTCCAGCTGAAGACTTTAGTGTGGCAGACGTCATCTCACCTGTTCATCTCTCAGCTGACAGCAGTGCTGTGTCCATGAACATCAGCAGGTATGGAGAGTCACAGCTCATTTATTAGTGAACGGGCAGGAGAAAACAAGCTTTGACACATTTTAAGTCGATTAAATGTTTTTATTTATTAGTATTAAATATAAAAGTAGAATAAAATAGACGCATTTTCATAGAACCATGACTACTGGCCTCAGTCATTTGTACACACAAATATTTCACATTATTATAGTCTGTGAACGTCGCTCTTTTTTTGGATGAGTTCCACGCGCGATCTCCGTTCCCTTCGCGCGCGCGCGCCACGTCACAATCACCTACCGAACTCGCGTGAGTCCTCCCACCGCCCACGCGTGACATCTGAAAGAAAGAAAAAAAAATGAATTAAATAAATAAACGAGCAAGGTGCAGTTCCGCCAGGAGCCGTGAGTGTGTGAGCGCGTGAATGTGTGTGAGTGTGTGTGTGTGTCGTCTGTCTGAAACATGAACCGCTCGCATTAGACGTCAGGAGGGCGATTTAAAACGGGGCAAAAATCATCATCAGCATCATCATCATCCTTCTCTTCCACGGGAAAAACCTGCTCGCACGCGCCAGGCAGCAGGGACATCAAATTAGGGTGGTGAAATTATTTGTGCAAGCAGCCTATGAAGGGGAGGAAGGTGTAACACATACACTATAATAGAGTGTGTGTTGTTTCCATTAGTGTTAATGATCTCATTTACTACTCTTAATTATCAGCACTAAAATCATTCGAGGAAAACTGGAGCATACATGTCGTGATCTGAGAAAAGCATCGGGTTATTCTTATGGATTAACATATGATCTTAACTCAACCCAGGGCAAGTGAGTATGCTGTTTAGTATAGATGTCTGTAGTGCACTAAATGTCTGTAGGCTAGATTGTGTCTGCATGCATGGGATTAAATAAACTCTCTTTCTGTCTATTTATCATATGTTTCCTCTAGTGTTTAATGTTTTATTCGGTGAGCATTACTTTCTCAACATTCAACAAGTATGTTTTTGTGCTGCGTTAATGTTGGTGAAAGCATTGATGCTGAACCCGGCCACACATTAACAGCAATTGTGTGGGATATCAAGGCACACGGACAGGTGTGTGTGAAATGAGATGCGGGACACACTACATACATGTCCACATGTTTTTGCACAGTCTATTTGAGCATACGTCCTCACACAGCCAGATTTATGGGATTGCTCGGGATCATTTTCACCTATTGGCCCGAGTGAAAGGCAGAACGTGGATCACCCGTGTCATGTGTTTTCTGCAGGGATGAGTAATCAGGGAGAGACTGAGAGAGAGCAGAGCTTGTGTGAACTCGTGAAATAAAAGCGTGGAAGAGGGCAGAAATGGAAGGCAACAGGTTTTATTTATATACGGTGTAAATAATTAAAGAGCTGTTCATGGATGTTGAACTCAGTGACCAGTGGTTTGGTATATTGCTGCAAAAACTAAAAAGCCGGATGATAATTGAAAGATCTGATACATGCTTTATATCCTTATTCCTCCAAGTTAAACATACACATTTGCTCTTAAATCAAATCACACACCGAGCGAATGGAATTAGATGTATTGCAGCATCTGATGCTGGGTTGTTTTAACCCAAATTTGGGTCAAATATTGTCAAACAAAGCCATTGGGTGAAATGTTGAAATTACATTATTTGGGTTTGTCCATATTTGACCTAAATTTGGGTTAAAACAACCCAGCATTTTAAGAGTGAACTTTTATTAATACAGTTCTACTTATGACTTATGCAGTTTTAGAATTACACTTGATAGATTTAAAATAAGTTGTGATTGATATTGCCTAAGTATTTCAATATTATTCCCAATTCGATCACACTTTTATCTGTTCTTTTGTAAATAAGCAGTCAGATATGCTTTTATGTTTTAGTCTGTTTGGACAATCATAAGTGAGATTGAATTAATATAATGGTCAGTAATTTTTTGGTTTGCTTGTGAAAGAAGTCTTCTGCTCACAGAAGCTTCAATTTTTGAAGCAAAAATACAGTATTGTGAAATATTATAATTTACAATAACTGAATTCATTTTAACATGTAATCTATTCCTGTTATCAAAGCTGTATTTTCAGCATCATTACTCCAGTCTTCAGTGTCACATGATCCTTCAGAAATCATTCTAATATGATGATTTGCTGATCAAGAAACATTTCTGATTTGACATTCGCATTGGTATCTGTAAAATATTGTCTGCTATTATCCCGATTTTAGGGTCGATCGATCCGTTTAAAAAGTAATGTATACTGCAGATGGCAGTGGATTACATGCTGAAATGCTGAGACGATGTGGTCATATTTATTATTATTGTTCTTTATAAGCAAGTATGATCTTATATACTTGTTAAACCTAAGTTACAGCAATATATCACACTCTAAAAAAAATGCTGGGTTGTTTCAACCCAAATGTTGGGTCAAATATGGACAAACCCAAATGTTGGGTTAAAATGCATTTAAAAAAATTCAGAGTGAAAGTTGAGGTTGGGTTAAAACTTTAAATTATTTTTAACCCAACATTTGGGTTTGTCCATATTTGACCCAAATTTGGGTTGAAACAACCCAGCATTTTTTAGAGTGCAGTTATTAGCAACAAAACTGTAACACTTCAACATAGTTGGTTGTTGGATTCAGTAATACGAAACAAGTTGTATTATCCTTTCAGTTTAATTTTTTTGCAAGTTTGTAAAGAATCTTGTATTTTGCAAAGTTAACTGGCCGTATTTCAGTCAAGTCGGTCCTCGTGAAGTTCTACCGGGTCCGTTGACATTTACGTGATGATGTCACTGTGCTAGTCCGCTAATAGATTCGCTGTCTCTCTCTCTCTTCAGACACTTTGCTGTAATTGCTGTTAAACTTGAGAAAGAGCTGAGCTCTCAGGCGCAGAGGTGAGGAAGGGGTTACACTGCTGTAAGATGATACACTTTACTCATTTAGCAACTTTGACCTCTTAATCATTTCATATTTCTCGTAATCCCTTATATTTCCCAGTCTCTGGTTATGCAGGTTTAGATTTCTGTTTTATACACACTTCTATTTGCCACTGACTGAAAGATAGGAAGTTGCTGCCATAAATTAAGTCATTTTTAAGTCATTCTTTAAAAATCTTTAAGTCATTTTAACTTAAATTACATTAAACTGATTTTTTTTTAAATGAGCTGAATCTTGTATAACTTATCAAATTTAATCTTTTTTTATGAGTTAAATCAATGTAAAAACATGTTGTCATAACTTATTGCACACATAATTTCGTGCAATGTGAAACCTAAAATACTTAAGTTGGAGTTGCTGTAGCATTTATTAGTTACGTATATTATTCTATTTTCAACTTTAAAATTTTTGCTTCTCTGTGTTAATTTAGGATTAATATTCATCCTCTCAACCACACTAAATGTTAATTCACTTTTTATGATCACCAAAGCAAAATGTTTAAAATGTTTACTTTAAATCTAACCTGCATATAAAATGTACATCTTCTAGTCATAAAGTACGTTTGCGAGCTGTTTACTTGGTAAAATGTAATGAAAAGGTTAGTGTGCTGCACACGTACGTTTCCAAAAAGAGGAAGAGCTCCTCTGGCAGCCAATGGCGCAGTTGCGCGCTCTTTTGTTTGGAGGATAATGGGCTGCTGTGTGTGCTCACAGGTAGCCCATAATGATAGTTTGCCCTTAAGGAAGGTGGAAACGCTTGTCCACACAGCAGCTGAAGCAGACAATATGGAGTCTGCTTTCCACTGCGGTCTGTAGCACGTCGCTGAATGAAAATGTGAGACGCGCTGACTCTCTCGTGTGCGCACACACACACAATCACGGAGTCTGCTGCTGAGATGTGTTATGTTCACAGCTGCTGAAATAGACACAGCACCAGTGCGTCACGTGATGTCCTGTCTATCCGAGAGGATTTTTATGATGTGAATCATGCATTTTGGGTTTTATTGCTGAAGTATTTTTGTATCAATAAATACCCCGTGCTTGCGCGAGATAAGACTGCAGGCTGGGAAAATATCCTTTTAACGTGCTCCCTCTCTCTCTGTCTGTCTGCACATAATTCTTTCTGCATCAGTGGATCTAATGTTTTGACCTTTGAAGGAGGGAGAGGAAGACATGGGACGGTGTGCGTTTTTGATGAATGTCTCGATAGAATGGTTGAAATTGTTGCCGTAAAGATCAGATCAGGGAACAGAGAGAGAGTGTGTGTGTGTGTGTGTGTGGTGTCACTGCAAAGGGGAGGCGACTGCAGCACTCTGCATCGGTGCAGTTCCCTTCATGTCCTGATGGGGCTCCACTGCACCAGATGGGAACATGTGAGGGGCTGCCAGACTTTAATATACTGTAGATGGGGAGCTATGAGATGAGGAGAGTTTTGAAATGCATATCACGCCTATTGCAACTTAAAGGGATAGTTCACCCAAAAATGAAATTAGCCCATGATTTACTTACCCTCAAGTCATCCTACATGTATGAATAGCCTACAATCAGAGTTATATTAAAAAATGCCCGTGTAATGATGCGAATGCATCAGACCCATAGACAGTAAAAGAAATGGACAGAGCGATCTCATTGGAACTCCACTGAGACGATTGAAGCCCGTTTTTGGCGATTTTTTAGCAATCGTTTGCCTACTTTCACTAAAACTGCTTCTACGGGGCCATAACATAAGCTACAAGGTAATGGAGCTATTTATAGACCTTATTCAGAGCAGCGCCATGACAGGTGTGATAGTGAGGCTGTGAGGGATAGACTTACCGTGTTTCCAATGGCATCCGCTTTAAAAAGCTGAATAAAGCTCCTAGATTACTTACAATTTTCCACAACTTACATTGTCAGGAGTTTTTTGTCAACTGAAATTTCTTAGAAAGATATTTTTCCAGTGTTTCATGAGCAGAACAATCCGAAAACACATTAAATAACAGTGCAGCCCATTGAAGAGATGCAAGTCTATCCCTCACAGCCTCGCTTTCATTCTCATTAAAAATCAAAGATGGCGCTGCCGTGAATAAGGCGTATACATTGTCGTGTTTCTTTAGAAATAAATAAAGGACAAATGGGGTCTTCAAACGCCTCAGGTGTAAAGTTATTCGCTGTCAAAGTGACGCCAAAATGAATGGGAGTCAATGGGAATGCTAACGCAAGTTCTGCTACAAGATGTCAGCTCCCGCGAGGCTTCAACTTCCGGTCGATGGATTACCCCCTTGATCAGACCCATAGGCTAAACAAATATGGACGTAGTGTCCGTGACATCACCCGTAGGTTTCTGAAGAGCATTTTTGAAGCCCAAAGTGGGCAGAGCTGGCCGTTGCCATCTTGGCAGCACATCACTTCGGGATAACCAAAAATGGGCAAAGAGGCGGGATTAGCTGAGGTGGCGTGATGCTAATGGACTATATGCATGCATAAGTTTCACATTTGACGCAAGGATGCTCTTCAGTTTCCGATTGGGGAGAATAAAGCGGAGGAAAACCGAATGATTACAGTCTTCAAAATTTACTGTCCTCCCGTCTTTGAAACGAAACTTTCATACGTTCAGATGTCATTTTATATATAGTTATTTTTATTTAATATCATTTTAAAAACAAGCATAAACACAACGGGGGGTGTCTGTTTTGTCTGTTTTTGTGACTAACGTTTCTTTAGTATAACCATGGAGTATAAAATTCAATATAAATTCTCGGTATTGCATTGGACTCTACGATCGGCGGAAGTTATCGAGCATCCTTAATCCTTCACCGGAAATACCGCCGTGCATAGAGCCCGTAGACAAACGACTAGTAGTGACGGTAGAGGCAATCCATCTGTCACTGCCCTAATGCAATTGCCCCTTGTTGGATTAATAAAGTGGTTAACTTAACTTAACTTAACTTAGAACTTTAAAGGCTTAATATAATTGAAATGGATGAGTTATAAATAACCCCCCCCCCCCCCCTCACAGTTTGTCATGAAGAGCAAAATTAGCTATATAGACCAAAACTACTTTTTGTACCAGTCTGTAAACATATTTGGTAACACTTTACAATAAGGTTCATTAGTTAACAATAGTAAATGCATTAACTAACATGAACTAACGATGAGCAATGCATTAGTTACAGTGTTTATTAATCTTTGTTGATGTTAGTTAATATAAATACAGCTGTTCATTGTGCGTTCATGTTAGTTCACAGTGCATTAACTAATGTTAACTAATACAACCTTTGATTTTAATAACGTATTAGTAAATGTTGGAATTAATATTAACTAAGATTAATAAATGCTGAAGAAGTATTGTTCACATATTGTACATGTTAACTAATGTAGTTAACTAATGTTAACTAATGAACCTTATTGTAAAGTGTTACCACATTTTTTTTTCTGCTGTAAAGTTGGGCATTTTAACAGTGGGGTAAATGGGATGGAGCCTGACACTAGTGGCGAGTCTATGAATTGCAGTTTAAGTCACTACCGCGTAGGATTCAGGAGAGAGAAACGAAGGTTGCCGCTTGGTCACACCGGAAGCTCAAGCGAAAAGTTTCGCATTTCGCTGCGCTCCAATTTTCACGTTTGTTGACCATTGACCTGCGAATTCGCATCACATGAAGACATGTGACTGGTAGAAAATCGATGCATTAAAGCTTGACCTCTTGGCTCAATTAAAAGAACAATATTTTTGCAGTAAAGTCGATATATTTTTTACATTTTGAGTGTATTACTTCTTGTTACATGTTGAATTCATGTTTATGAAATAGACGCCTCATATAGTGATGTCATATCATGATAGTCGCGGAGTCCGAAGAAGTTTTGAATGCTCAAAGTCTAGTGTGACCGTATATTATCTTGCTGTTTACTCTAATTTTGCATTTTGTCCTTTATGTACCCTTTCCTGCTGAAAAAAAGAAAACATCTTAAACCGGCCTAAATATAGTCCAATCCAAAGATGTAAATTGTCATTATTTTACTTACTTTACTTTAAAGTCATGTATTACTTTTTCTTCTGTGAACTTATAACCAAACACTTTGGGTGTTTCACTTCACTTTCATTGCATGAACAAAAATACAGTGCGAGTCAATGGGAACCAAAACTGTTTACCAACATTCTCCTCTCATGCTCCACAGAAGAAAGAAAGTAATACAGGTTTGCAACAACATAAGGTAAAGTAAATGATGCCTCAGGGAGGGTGCTATTTTTTAAAAATCTTTTTGTTATTTTTAATGGCTATTTTAATTTCTCGGGTTCATTTTTGTAATTCTTCTGTTCTTAATTAGATCGATAGTTCTGATTTAACATTCTGAAACCGTCGGCCCTAACAATAAACTCGTGCCTGTGACTAGTTGACACATTGCTTGGCAACAGTAAACAGCATACAGTTATGCTAATTAGCTGTATTGATGAAATAATTGCTTATTCTGATTAATGCATATATAGACTGTTTCAATCATAATATGCAATAGACTGCGCAGTACTCTATTCCGAACAGCCCATGACACGCCCCCTGTCTGCCATTGGTTAGAAACAGGACACTCCTCCCCAAACTCACTCCATTGGTCGAGGCAGTGTTGCTGTGTAGGGCTGGTTCTGATGATCAAATATGCAGAGCAATGTTTTAAAAGCAGTTAAGGAAGTCAACCTACAATTGATTTACTAATAGTTGTCTTTTCGTATTAGGCTGGATAATAGGACATTTTAAAATCAGTTTTCAGGTTTTATGGCTCTTACTTGTTAAACGCATTTCAACGATTGGCTTTTTTTCTTTTTCCTCTTTTTCATCATCTCCTTTTCATTTGCTCGTATTCCTTCTTTTCCAGCCCCCCTTCCCATCTCTCGCTCTCTTTCATGAGCTTTCCATTTTTTCCCAAGTACAGGAACGTAAGTCACTAACTCTCTCCAGTCTTTTAAATTCTCTCTCGTCCCCTCCCCCTTCTCTCAGTCGGTGCTGGTCTCTCCTGATCTGTTCTTCTCTCCCTCCCCCTCTTGCTGCAGTGTTACTGCTAATGTATATTAGCGTCACTGCAGTCCTCCACTGCTCACCCTCTCCTTCTCTCCTTCAGCTTCCATTTCCTCCTCAGTGCTAACAGCATTTTTACTTCTCATTGTGTTGTCTTATTTTGCGCAGGTTCTGTCTCACATGCCTTCACACACACAGGAGAGGGTGAATGCGCTGGGTAATTATACCTCATCTCCCTCACCCTGTGTTTCAGGATTTCTCACGCCAAACCCTCTTCTTTTTTTCTCACCTACTTCTCTTTTATCTACTTGTTTTTTTGAACCCCTTCTCCCTTCCCCAAAAAATTCAAATAAATAAATAAATGAAATAAAACGTCACCACTGCTGCCGAGCTCAGTTCTGCTGCCTGTCTTGCAAACACACACACACACACGGCGCAGTCAAATATTAACCCTCTCGATTCTTCAATACTTCAGCAGGGATTACGTTTTTAGTCATTTTACATTTTAGTAAATCAATATTTCTTAACATTTTCCCTAATGTTAACTTAACCATACTTGATTCTAATAAATAGTCTTTTATGCTTTTTAATGCATATTTTGAGTGCATAGGTTGAAAGTACCTCACAGGGCCCAATCCTTACTTTTTCTGGACCCGTAACTCATTCTTGATCCTCTTTTCTCTGTGTTGGTCTAGTTTTCTGACGCCGCTGTCCGAGGTGCTGACATCTTCAAACTTCTGAGTTTTGCTTCTGTTTTTCTTCATTTTGCTCTAATGTCTTTCCCCTCAACCTCTATGCCAGCTTTTTTTTCACTTTTCCTCCATCTGTGCATTTGATTTTCTCACTTTTTTAATTGTTTTCTTTAATCCCTCCTCTGAGTTCGTTTAAGTATCGCATTATTCCCTCTCTGAGAGTCACATTTATGCACCTGAACAGCTTTGAACTCTACTTGCTTTTCCAGCATTAATCTGAAAGCTCTGTGTTTATGCAACAAAATCAATACGATACACACACTTGCAGTATTATGTACTTTAAACTCAATCAGTGTGAATACTAGTCAGGGTTTAAACAATTAAACAAAGATCTTTTTGAAACAAATTTCGCTCACAGATAAATTACAAAGAAATAGCATGTAATGCATTGAATTAAGCAGAAAGTATTTTCTTGTAAAAAGGTGCTCCGATAATCTTTGTTTTACTGTACTTGGTTTTATTTCAAGTTTAAAAACAAGTTATAACTTAATGCACTTACTTCTAAATTTACCACAACCTTATACCGACATAAACAGCACAACTCGCATACATCCGCTATCAGAAGTAAATAGTCTTACCTTAATTATTTCCATCCTCTTTCTTGACTTTCTTTTCTAGATCCCTCTTGCTCAAGCTGTTTAAGTGCATTTCTGTGAGAGTTGACTAACTTTCACCAGAAATGCCTGAATAGAAAGAAAGGAAAGTGACTAAAGAGTAGAGTTTCTAGCTGCCGAAAAGTGCGATTAAATAGAAAAAAAAGGAGAAAGTGCTTGTGAAATGAAGAAGGGATCAGCTGAAAGGAGGTGGTGTGGTAGAAAAGAGAAAAGTGATGCTGGACTCCAGAGTCGTTCTCAGTGAATTGTGATTCCTTAATGCGGATTTGGAGAGCATGGGATGGGGGGATGGGGTGTAGGAGGAGAGGAGGAGAAAGGTAAGGGGGGGCAAACGGAGATGGGATAGGAACAGAAAGAGAGCAAAATGGAATGAATACTTTAAAAGCAAGTAAATCAACCAGCTCTTTACTACAATAACAGAGAGGGAGATGCACAAAGTCAGGGTTTTACTGCAGCAAAACTGCACTGTTCTCTCCAAACCTCTCTCGCTCGCTCTCCCTCTCTCTCTCGCTCACACACCCCCTCCTGCTCAGTGACGCTCGGCTACAGTGCTGTACTGCTGTGTGTGCATAATAAGCACCTTTCTATCTCCCTCTGTCTCTCTTTCTCTCTCGTTCCCTCCATGCAATGAAGCTGCAGTGAAGCTCTTGACTTATTAGCTGCTTCATTTAAAGAGATAGAGAGACGGAGTGAAAGAGAGACAGATGGAATTCTAATCAGTCGCAATAGTCTCTCGCCCTCAGTGGCGTAGCTTTGAGAGTTGCGGGCCAAAGGATGTCTGAAAGGAATACGTGTGAATGATGGATTGACAGACATGCAAATACAGACAAATATTCCTGCGATTTCATGCATTAATGATTTTTTGATTACTAAAATGACCCTTTTCAGTAGTTATCATGCTTTACATTTGATCACTGAAGTATTGAGAGAGGAAAAAATCAATTCTGTTGTCTTATCGTTTTCTCTCTTATATTTATGGTTTCTGTTTGCATTTGTGATTTGCGAGTTGCATCAGATAAAAGCGTCCTCTAGATGAATAGATGTAAATCTCATTCGGGATAACTTGTGCTAAGGGACAATTGTTTTTATGATCCTGTTTTTTTAATGTGTCCTGTGTGTCAAAGCCCTGTCTATCGTACTGAATGTTTTTGTGCGGTTGTATTTTAGTGTCGATAAGTGTGTAGTTGATTGGTTTACGTGAAATACTCTTGGGAAGTCCTGCAGTGTGAGATGCTAAACTCTTTTAAACAGCATTATTAATTCAGAGACCGCATGCAATTGTAATATTTGAAGGAAAAGTGTGATTTTAAATGAAGACCAGACCATCTTTAACATCCATGGATCCTTTCCATTATAATAGTGGTTCACTGAAAGGTTCTTTAGGGAACCAAAAATTAGAGGACGGGACCATTCTCTTTATTTTTAAGAGTGTATAACATGCATGCATTCTTTAATCTTGATGCTGGTGTCATGCGTCAATTACGCGCACACATGAAGCAACTTTTGCCCCCCACACAAGGTCACATGGCAACCTTCATGTCACTGCAGTATTTGTTGGCATATCAATAGCGGGACCCCCGTATGATGTGCAAGATCCCTTCCTTATACCTTTACTAAACATCTTCCCTGTTTCTCTCCCCCCTCCCTCCTGCCTCCCCCCCTACAGACCGCTCTTCTCTCCTCCCCTCGCCGTTTTTTCTCCTCCTCTCCCTCCCCTATGCTCAGTTCGGTGTGTGTCTCCTCATTCAAAGGGCGCAAGGGTGGGAACAAGTCGTCCAACAAAGCATGTTACAGCGCCGACATGACTTGCCCGTCGGAAAGCGAGAAAATCGTCATCAACTGCGGCGGCGTGAGGCACGAGACGTACCGGAGCACGCTGAAGACGCTTCCCGGGACGCGGCTGTCGTGGCTCACTGAGCCGGACGCCTTCAGCAACTTCGACTACGACGCGAAGTCAGACGAGTTCTTCTTCGACAGGCACCCGTCCGTCTTCTCGTTCATCCTCAACTACTACCGGACGGGCAAGTTGCACTGCCCTAACGACGTGTGCGGCCCGCTGTTCGAGGAGGAGCTCGCCTTCTGGGGCATCGACGAGACCGATGTTGAGGCGTGTTGCTGGATGAACTACCGGCAGCACCGGGACGCGGAGGAGGCGCTGGACAGCTTTGAGACGCCCGAGCCGGAGGTACCGGACGACGACCCTGCGCTCGCGGGGGACGGAGACCTGAAGCGGCTGTGCCTGCAGGAGGACAACAGGAAGGCGGGCTGGTGGCGCGTGTGGCGACCCCGGATCTGGGCGCTCTTCGAGGACCCTTATTCATCCAAATACGCGCGGGTGAGTGTTCAGCACCTCTTTACGCATGGACAGCTCCGTTAACTCGGTTAACTGGTGGGCTGATGTGTTGCCCAATCCATGAATTTAGAACCCGATTAAGTGCTCTTTGGAGACCCAAAATGTTGTAGTTTGCATGGTAACTGAAGGTTTTAGACTCCAATACCTGAAGGGTTTGTGGATTGTGCCCTTGAGTTTGAGCATATAGTGGTTCTTTATAAGTTATTTAGGTTATTAAAATATTCTTTGAACTCTATATGGAAAAAAAAGGTTCTTTTTAAGAACGTTTGATTCTTTTGGGAACCTAAATGGTTCTATTGCATCGCTTTTGCAAGTGCAAAAATAAGCTATTCATTGCCATTGAGGGTTTCATCAAAAAACAAAATGTTCTTCAACTATAGAAAAAAAAAAAAAAGGTTCTTTTAAAAACTTTTTTCCTGAAAGGATCTTTGAGGAAGCGGAATGGATCTCTGTAAAAACCCGCGTTATTTTTACGAGTGTTCACTTTTTTAGACAAATTCTTGTACTTACTTGCAGAGTTTCACATAAAGGTTGGACATGTTGAAACATGAAAGTTCAAACGCCATAAGCGTTGATCAGATATCATTGTGCCCTTGAATAAGACGCCTAGCCTCAGGTTACTCCAGAGGGATTGAACCAGTAATTAGTCACTTTTGATGAAGGCATCAACTAAATGAGTAATTAAGAAATCTGTGCACTCTTATTCCTTCACAAGGGATGCTAAATACTTAATCGTATTTAACTCAACTTTTAACTGTGTGTTGACTGTGAGATTGGAGGTCATTTTGCCTGTATGCTTGTTTTTACTTAATTAGTAAATCTAGATGCTAAAGTTACTATTTTGGTAGCATTTTGTAGTTTATTAACCATCTTTGAGGTGATTTGGCCTATAGTGGGTTGGTAACTGAACATTTTGTACGTCCATGAGAGTTGAAGGACTGTGCCATTATGCAAAGATACGTCCCTTAATAAGTGTACAGTAAGTGACTTTTTATAGCAAGTGGCTCTGAATAAACGCGTCAGATAATGGCTAATTAGGCAGTAATCGTAAATTCTGCACTATTTAAAGATCTGAACTGGCAATTGAAAAGTTGTGGGATCACAAACTGTCCTTCGCTGAACTTTGAAACGATTTTCACCCAGAAATTGCTTAATTAAAATATCCAATTGAACACGACATTGGAAAGTAGAAAGGCTGAAATATTTTCTTGTAATAATGTGCTCCAGTAATATTCATTTTATGCACAATTTCCACAATATTTTGAGTGTTGATCAAGACATTTAACCTGAGGTTGTAAGTCGCTGTAGATAAAAGCATCAGCTAAACGAGTAATCGTGTTTGCTCCTCCATCGAGGGCTTGGAGCCAGAGGGGCGTAAGTGGCATTTTGGGCGAATAGGAGTTCTTTATATCAAAATAAAGGTCTCGATGAGCTCTATACAATGGTGCCAAAATACCAATCTGAGATCAAACTGTATCATAAAGCAACAAAAAGGCGTATTTGACTTATTTTTTAAATTTGAAAATGTTTGAGAAAATTGTTAATATGCCATACATTTTTTACTTAAATACTCATTCATGTAAGTATGCCTGTGGTTGCAATATTTCTGGTTTAAGGTTAATAATACAGGTGATTGAAGTGTGGTCAAAAATTTTGTTTTGTCTGTCCTGTAAAGTTTGTTAAAAGCCACTTACGCCCCTCTGGCTCCAAGCCCTCGCATCATCATCATCATCATCATCATCATCAGACTGTTGCAATGACTGGAGAAAGTTGCATGATTTCAGTAGTTGACCCAAGCTGGTTAAATGAGTTTTGAAGAGTGCCGCCTGTCAAAAAGAATAGGATATTCCCCCAGAATCACACATTGCATCACCATCAAACACACACCATACTCATATTTGTGCGTGTTTTGCATGTTATCGTGCCCCATTATGCAGGAGGCCCTCTTAGATTCAAGCAGTCTTTGTTTCAGCTGTTGTCCTTACAGTAGCAGCCACCATTACTGCATTTATAGCCTATAAACCCACTGCTTTTATGAATCTTTTATGCTTCCGATACCCGACGCAGGAATCACAGACGCTCGTTTCTTCTTCGAATCCTCGGTCGTTTTCATTCAAATGCGAGCTTGTGTTTTCGGAGCGCATAACGTTCAATCTGATGCGATTATAACTGAGACAGGACGGAGCGCTTGCTGCTTCAGAGACAGGGTGCACTTGATTGATATTGCACAAATATGATAGACTATCACTCATATTTTGGCTCAGAGGCATAGTCAAACGTTTGAAAACAAACGCCCCAGTGTGTGCATAGACGGTCGGTGTGTGTGGATGTATCAGGTTCAGCTGAGGAAGTGAATTGAGGTTGTGTGTATACAGAAAATCTATGTGCATTTGTCAATGGTGACTCACTTAAAGCAGGCCATATGCTTTTTAAAGTTGTTTTATCGGCATGTCTTTCATGATTTTAGATGAAATTGAGATGTATGGCTGTACAATTCAACCCATTATGTCATAGAGGTGCTCTGATCTTCCTAACTGAAACTAGATATGATGACTAAGATAAGTCCACATATACATAGACGAGACATATGCACAATCGCTGTCTGCTGTGTGTTTGTGTGCTTACAGATGGATTTAGACTGATACCTGAATGCATCTTCATTGTTCAAATGTCACTCGCTGGTCAATATTTGCCACAGTTCATTCACCTTGTTGTCAGCCAGGGTTTACTCTGTATAGTTGTCGCTGAGCACATGCAAGCATTAACATGCATGTTTGCATATGGTAAACACAATCAATTAGCGGTTGAACGATAAAGGTTTTTAATGTCTGCTGGCTGATGTGTGGAGAGCAAAGGACCACTATCGTCAAATACGATTGACATTGGCATACAGTTTGGATTGGCGGTATGGTTCTGTTCTGGACGAGAACATTTCATGCACTATGGAAATTTAAAGTGCTTTACAGAAAATAATTAAAATAATCACAAAATAAAAGCAAGGAAAAACTCTTTTAAAAAGACATTAAAAGAGATCTACAATACAGTTAAAACACCGGTATATCATATTTTTTACAACTCCCAGTTGTACTCTGAGATTTTCCCATGGCGATTCACTTTGTCTGTGGTGTTCGTTCGATGGACACGATTTTTCCCTAAAATCAGACAGAAGGAGCATTTGAGAAAGCATTTGAATTTGTCAAATTTGAATCACATATTTAAATTATTTACTCCACTCAAAGTAACTTTTGGGGTCTTTTATTCTTAAAGTAATACTTTTATTCAGCGAGGATGCATTAAATTGATCATAAATACATAATGTAACAGAAGATTTGTATTTCAAGTACAGTAAATGCTGTTCTTTTTCATTGAAGTGTTCTCGGGGTGGGGGGGGGGGGTTGTTTTGAAACTGTTTTTAACATTAATAATAATAATTAATAAATAAGGGCTGTGAAACGATTAATCGCGATTAATCGCATCCAACATAAAAGTTTGTGTTTACATAATATATGTGGGTGCACTGTGTATTATTATTTTGTGTATATATATATATATATGAAGAGTTCAGATGCAAAAGCCTCTAAATGCCATTTGAAATTTTCTTCTTTAATGATGATTTTTATCAAACTTGTATATTTAAGTTCAGTAATTTCACTTAAATAACAATTAATAGGTAATTATCATTGCAATTTAAGTGAAATCACTGAACTTAAATATACAAGCTTGATAAAAATGATCATTCTAGAAGAAAATTTCAAATGGCACTGGCAAATGGAACTCTTCATATATATATATCAATACACACACATGTTTGTATATATTTAAGAAATATTTTCATGTGTATATACTGTATATAGATTTATATATAATTTATATTATATATAAATATAAATATTTTATATATAAATAATATTTTTTTCTTAAATATACATGCATGTGTGTATTTATATATACAAAATAATTATACACAGTGCACCCACATATATAATGTAAACATACACTTTTATTTTGGATGTGATTAATCGCAATTAATCGTTTCACAGCCCTAATATATATAAGCAAATATTTCTTAAATATATACATGCATGTGTGTGTGTGTGTGTTTATTATGTCAACACAAACTTTTATTTTGAATGCGATTAATCACGATAAATCGTTTCACAGCCCTAAATAAGTAAAATTTAGTGACGGCAAATAAGATGCTGAATTTAAACAAACACTATTTTACACTTTTTGGACATGATTCATTATTAAAGGAGAGCACATTTCTTGATAAATCATTGATAAATCCATCCTTTGTGCTGTTTAAATTTAATTGAATGCAGAAATTTACATAATAATTTTTACACAGAACTGAATTCTGCTTGTTTTTTATGATTAACGCTAATTTATTTGAACATATTTATGCAAAAAAAAAAAAAAAAAAAAAAAAGCATGGTTTCTCACAAAGCATTTGACTGGTATCTCAGTGCTGTTTCTCTCCGGTCATGCAAAAGTAGACGACACCGGTCCGTAGCCTACAGTAACACTCCAGTGATCTCCAATCTACCAGGACTAGATGACACAGAAAGGACGGACAGTGGAAGGTGAATGAGAGAGGTGAAAGAAAGACGTGATTTAAAGCCACTCGCTATAGATTCATCATGCGGGGGAAGTGTGAAACATTTATGAGCTGAGCGATAATCTTCATGTTTTTCATACCAACATCAGTCCTCTGTGAGTCCAACACACACACACTGGCGTGCAACACTGCTGCAATCCTGAGCTGTGCACTAGAGCAAAGCATGAGCGAGAGAGGGTCAGATGTAAGGAATATGGGGGGAAGCCGGAGATGGAGGAAGCCGAGCTATGAGAGATAGATATTGGCTGGAAACGAGAGGAATGCATTATGGACTTATTTTAACATCTAAAGGCACCGGACGCCCTCCTTCCTCACTCTCTGTGGACTATTGACTGATCGTTTATTGATCGCTCGAGTCTTTGTC